TGGCCACCTGCCTGCCTTTCTAAGCTCAGGTTTTATGTTAAAATGGGAGGTAGTGAGGGCTCCCCATCTCTCCCAGTCACGCAGGTGCACAGAGTGCCACTCACTCGCCGCCGCCACAGCCCCGCCTTACTGTGCCCGTCTTCTGTTTCAGAGCCCGGCTACTGCCCGGTGAGGCTGGGCATGACCACTGGGCGGCTTCAGTCTGGAGTGAATACTCTGCAGGGGTTCAAGGAGGATAAAAGGAACAAAGTAGCTCCGGGTAAGGCGCCTGCTCGGGACAGTCACCATTATTGCCTTGTTCATACATTCTTTGCTGGTATTTTTGCAACTTTAATTCGTTACTAACTTCAGAAGAGACTGAAAAATGGTGTATTAGTCTTCAAAGTGAGTTTTATTTATTTCCTCTCCCCTTTGTGGGAAAACACTCACTTGTGTTGCTACTTCATAAGCATCTGTTTGGGGGAAATGTCTGCCTTAGGTTTGTGTGCCAGTCGATGAAGTAGTGAAGTTAGAAGGGAGTGGTGCTACTAAAGCAAGCACACGGCCCGCCATCCACGTCCCAGAGGAGCTGACGTCTCTCCTCTTCACCCACAGTGCTCTACCTGAACTACGGGCCTTACAGCTCGTACGCCCCGCACTATGACTCCACGTTTGCCAACATCAGCAAGGACGATTCTGACCTCATCTACTCGGCCTACGGGGAAGACGACTGTGACATTCCCAGCGATTTCAGGCGAGTCTCCGGCTCGGGGTTCTGAAGGCCGCGTTTTCCTAAAGCTGATCTGAGGCGTGGATCTGAAGGGTGGGGTCCGGCTTGAGGTGTGACTGAGAGGCTCACACGTGTGGAAGTCATGAGGGAGGCATTCGCCCCAGGGAGCTAGGGGAGGGGCACGGAGCACGCCGCTGAGCGAGGGCTTCCATCACTGAGCTGGGTTTGCATTTCATTTCACTGTGTTAGCGAGCGTTTCATTCTGTCGCGATGATGAATGGTCGCCGGTGAGTATGTAAACAGCGTTGACGAGGTGGTGAGTCTGGCACGTGGTGTGTCAGTGAGCCACCTGTGGGAACGGCTGGCTGTGACAGGAAGACTGAGCCCGTGGAGATGATTCTGTGGCAGTGACTGTCCCGGCATGCTCTCTTTCAGCATCCACGAGTTTTTGGCCACGTGCCAAGATTACCCATACGTCATGGCAGATAGTTTACTGGATGTTCTGACTAAAGGAGGGCATTCGAGAAGCCTGCAGGAGTCGGAGACGGTAAGAATACACCCAGAGAACGGTGGTTTCTCATTGGTCCGGCATTAGTCATCGGTGTTATGAAACCATGGGCTTAACCAGGGTGACAGCTGTGCTCCACTCCCGAGAAAACGGCCCGGCCCGGGTGGGGACCACGGGCGGAGGACAATGAAGGGAAACGGTGATGTGGGCACCGAGATCCGAGGCAGAGGGTGGCATCTGGTCCTGCGCCTGCAGGATGAGGAGGGTTCACAGCAGAGCGGTTGCCGGTGCCGACACCTGACAAGGGAAGCCCTGCTCTCTGCTGGGAACCGCTGACTGAAATGGGAGGGAATGCCCTTCGCTGCCTCCTCAGGGATAGAACTGGTGGAGCCTCCAGCAACGAAGGAAGCCACGTCCTAGTCGCCCTCTTACTAACACTGTAAACTCTCCAGGTCGGCTGGACAGAGTTCATGAGCTGGGACAACCTAGGGCTTGGCTCCGAGATGAGGACCAGCAAGCGTTCCTTCTGGGGCCGAGGGAGCTGGTCTCCCGATGCCCTTTCTGTCTGTCGGCAAATAGCCTTGAGCTAAAATCGAATGGCCAATGTGGCAGTTTCTGATTTACAGTTTCTCTGCTCTTTGATCCAACTGTTAGTATTCTCAGAATTCTAGAAAATAAGGAAAGGCTATATATAAGGACACATTGTTCATAATCTTTTAAAATTGGTAATTAAATAAATCACAACCTTTCAGGAAGATGACATCGTTACTGGTTTGAGTCCTGAGGCGTTTGTCTGTCTCTGTGGTTCTGAGAACTAGGGCTGTGCAGCTGACAGTCTCCAGCATGTATTCACAGCAGCTTCTGCTATCTGAGAGTCGCCTGTTACATAGGGCAGCCCTGGCGCTCCTCCTAGATTCTCACCAGACTGACCTGCTGGTGAAACAGACTCCACTTAGACGCTGATGCTGTTCACCACATACCGTGGGCACGTGCACAGCTTTTGGATCGGGCCCAGAATTACCCATCGCAAAGTCACTAGCAGGGGGTGCTCTTGACTCACAAATTCTCTCAAAATGCCAGTAACTATATCTCATTCATTTTATTCCCCAAATCCACCTCCTTCCGTTTCCCTGTTGTGGGATACTTGCCTTTGCCTGCACCTTGGAATAGACAGTTGTTTATTTCTATCCTACAGTCATCACCTGAAGATGAAGGCCAGAGCAGGACCCTCGATGCAGCCAAGGAAACAGAGGTGATTCTATTCTTTATGAAAAATGTTTAAATGGAGACTAAGCTGAAAGACCTAAGTGATGAAGCTTTGTTTGTAAAGAAGTGTGTAAGTAAGCCCTTTCACTGCGGGACACACACCTGCAGGTGGGAGATCGAGTAGAGGCAGGTGCAGGTGCGGGTGGTGTGCACACGCGTCCTTCCCGGGGCGGGGCCCAGCGAGGCCGTGTGTAAGAAGGAAGTCCGGAATGGGAAGCAGTAAGGAGACTGATGGGCGTGAGGGCCACACCCGCAGCCCGTGTGCTGGTGGAGAAAGCAGGTGCTCAGGGGTTGAGCTTGGAGTGCGACACCACCATCTAACTGGAACCGTCACCTCGGGTCACGTGTATCTGGTGACCTGTTCCTAATAGCAGCACCGAGGTTATAGAAACTGAGGCTTGTGAGTCCAGGAATAAACTCCACTCTTTGTGGGGTGTATTTCTCCCTGCCGTGCTGGCCCCTGGCCGTGGGCCTGGGGGAGACCAGGAAGCACCTACGTACAAGAGCTCCTGCAGTAGCGTAGGCGGCCGGACCCGGGCTGGCGTGGCTCCCGGTCTTCACCACCTCGTGGTCCCAGGCAGTTGTCACTGTTATGCTTTGAGCGCTGGCATGTGAAACAAATGCAGCCTGCACACACACTCCGTTACCCTACCGGGCAGCGTGGTGTGTGGACACTCTGTGCCGGGCTTTGGGAACGACATCAGGTTATAGCTGCAGTGTGAGCAGGTGGAATAACGGGCTGCAGATGGGCCATCTTCCTGGTTTCTCATTCCAGCACGGCGGGGCCTAGAAGCCCGTGTGATTCCTCTTTCTTCCCAGCAGGCCTCAGAAGTGGAGCCAGCGGGGCGGGTGGGCTCCGGCAGCCAGGACAGGCTTGCGGCCCTGGAAGTGGTGGCGAACTTGGGCGCTCCCGTCGAAGTTTTTGACTCTGAAGGTGAGTGTCTGGGGTTGGGGAGGTTGATGGGAGCGCTGCCTGGCACGGCAGTCAAGACTGGCGGTCCCCAGGGTACCACTAACGACCACCACAGGGCAGGCCTCAGGGCAGCACTTCGTGGGGGGGTCTCGTTTGAGATTAATCAGTACCCCCAGAGCCTCGGAGCACACGGCTCCGATTCCCGCTCAAGGTGGAACCCGGGGCGGCCTCTGCAGTGTGTGCTGTCCCCACAGAGGCCGAGGTGTTCCAGAGGAAGCTGGACGAGACCACCCGGCTGCTCCGGGAGCTGCAGGAAGCCCAGAACGAGCGCCTGAGCACCAGGCCCCCGCCCAACACCATCTGCCTCCTGGGCCCCTCGTACAGAGAGCTGCACCTCGGTAGGTCCCCTGGCGGGTGGGAGCTCCAGGGGTATGTTTTTGCGTTTATACACTTGTTCTTTAAAGAAACCACATTTCAGGACCTAGAACAGTTCTTGTTTTGTTTTGTTTTTTTCTAGCTGAACAGGTGACCAATAACCTTAAAGAACTTGCACAGCAAGTAACTCCTGGCGACGTCGTCAGCACGTACGGGGTTCGGAAAGCGATGGGCATCTCCGTGCACCGCCCTGGTGCGGGGAGCAGCCTGGTGGATCTAACAGGAGGTGCGTGCCCACGTCAGGAGGGCGGGGCCTTTGACAGGTGCTCCCCCTGGGAGTTGCTAGTGTGTAAAGTACTTTGTTCTCTCCATTTTACAAGTTGAAGGCTTGACACATTTGCAGAAAGAGCTGCAGTGATGGCCTAATAACGCCCCGTGTCTACCCGGTGCCGTGGGAAGGCCTGCCAGCACCTCTGGACGCTGCCTTTCCGTCACGTTCCTTTTTGCATCAAAAAAGGAAAATATGCTAAATTAAGTGGCATTTTTTTCTTTCAGATTTTGAAGAAGCTAAAAAGACGGATGTTGCTGAGTGTGGCCCCGATGGGAGTCAAAGCTGACCGGTATTTGATTATATATTATGTACATATTTTTTGATTCTTAATTTGGAAACGCTTTTCAGAAGATATTAAATATTTGTAAATTGTGTTTTTAATTAAACTTTGGAACAATTAGTGTAATGTTCCAGAGACTGGCCTTCTGTTGGGTAAGAGCTGACTCCTGGGACTATGAACTGGACGGTGCATGTCAGCTCAGTGATCCCTGACCTTTCTGATAACGTGAGGGAGAAAACAGCCTCTTTCATGACCATCCGTTAGGGGAAGCAAGTCCTCCAAATCCTTACAGCCCCTCAGTTCCGCGGTCCCTGTTAGAAACGAGAACCACATCCTTCCTACCTGATCAGGTGGCACCTGGCCATTTAAAGGGGCCTTTGAGGAAGGCACATGGCTCTGGCCTGTTGCCACCGGAGCTTTGCAAAGTGGGTGGAGCCAACTGGGCAGAGTCCTCGGGAGACCGGAGTCGGCTGGTCCTGCCCCGGTGCCGCAGGCAGCCGTCAGCCTGACCTGGGGCCCTGCCTTCGCTAAGGTCCGTTCCTGAGGCCAACAAAGCATCTGACGTCAGGACACGCAGGCTCTCCGTACTGGTCATTTAATACGCGAAGGCTGAACAAGTAGCGACACGGGTACTTTATGAGCATGAACATAACATTCTGAACCAACACTGCGACCTGTGCACACGCAGTGCACAGAACGCTCCCCTTGTTGCGTATTTCCGCACGTTGACCTGTTACACACGCCTGTCAGTGGGTGAGGGTCTTCCTCCCATTGGGAAGTTTCTCACATTAACCTCGGGGGTGGGGGTTCCCTAGTCAGTGTTAGAAGAGGGACTGTCCCGTCTCAAACGGAGTGACACGTGTGAAGGAGGGACGTAATGAGAAAACTTTTATAAAACACAATTGCAGGTGACTTTCCTGGTCAGTTATACGCTCCTGTCTGAACACCGAAAGCTCATCCCATCCGGGCACAGTGCTTTAATTGTAAACACACAGACGTACATTCATGGTAACCAGGTATTTTTTAAGCTCCTGTAGCCTAATGTTTACGCTGCTCTCTAAGAGGATGGGCTGCAGCGCAGGACTTACCCTAAACCAGCCCTTCCCATGAAGAACTGGTGTGTAAAAGGGCCACGTAAGGCTTACTCCCTTCCAGCATCGCTGCCACACAGCTCCTGTAGCCGACTCAGACCATGCCAGTTACATGCAACACCTCAGTGCACCCACCAGCACCCTGTGCAAGTTCCCCTGCCTGCGACCCTGTCTCCTCTTCCTGAAGTCTCTGCAGTTCCCTAATCCCAGGGGTCTGTGGGTGACTAACCGGTAGCCCTGCGGTATTGACGTCACCTGCATTAGATCCGGTGGTCCATGTGATAGTGACGTCACCCGCATTAGATCCGGGGGCCCCTGCGGTCGTAAATCGCCTGCATTAGATCGGCAGCTCTGCCCAGGTGGCAGGCAGTGCAGAACAAGGAGCGGCAGGCTGGTTCTTGCCCCGTGGAGCCTGGCTGGACTTGGGGTTCTGTGAGTTGAAGCTCATAGATGCTTTTTGCACTTGCCTTGGTTTATTCGGTCAGAAGAACATCTCCGCAACCAGGTCAGGGGACCTCTCCATGGGCCCCCGCTGGCTTGAAGCTCCTCAGCGTCAGTATGCGGATGAGAGGACAGGAGAGGGTCCCAGAGGTGCTGGGCGCCTAGCCCCTCTCCTTCCTGCCGAAGCTTGCAGGGGACGGCGCCAACATGCACCAGTAGGCGGGCTGAGGTGGCTGGGCCTAACTTTGCAGTCTTTTTGCTGACTGAACCTAACCTCGAAAGGCTGGAGTCAAAGTGGGGGCCACCTTCCACAGAGCTGCGTCCCCACAGCCGGGGCGGCCCCGGAGCTGATCCTGGACAGTGGTCCTGCTGGCATGCCGGTGGTTAAAAGGCAGAGAATACCCTGGAGGGAAGAGGCTTGTCTCGGATCTAAAAAGTCATTAAAAAGGACAAAACCTTCAGTGATAACGCAGCCATTTAACACGTTAAGTGCCATGTCAGTCACTTAGTCCTCTCATGCAGGCTGGGGTCCAGACCCCCAGTACCCCAAGCTGCTCTTCTATACTCAGCTCAGAGCCCTCTGACCCCGTGTCCAGCTGCTGTGCCAACAGTTCCAGGGCCTGGCCAGACCTGAGGCCTGACAGCAAGCTCACATCCCCGTCTGCACCAAGTACAAGGAGGGTGACTATGCTTTCTGTCCAGACCGGTCAGTCACTGGTGCCGCCAGCATATCGGTGAAATCGGGTATCGCGGGCTAACCGGAAAGGAAGACAAAACAGGCCTGGCGCTTAACATGTTAAAGAAACACATGCCAGAGACAGCAAGTAACCCACGTCCACGGAGGTTTTCTGCCCGCTGTTTGAAACCATCTATACATTTGAAACGCCCTTTCCAGCTCCATTCACCAGAACACCTGGGTGAGAAATATGGAAGCCGTAGCTGGTCGCTGGGGTGAAAGGCGTCCAGCCCATGCCAACTACTTGTCTCCGTCCTCCTGTGCCTGGAAAACAGGTCGCTGGGCAGCTCCCGGCCATGAGGGGGGTCAGTCAAGACCACAGCAGGCCAGCAGCAGAGGAGCTGAAACTTTGGAGCCTTTTCCTGGGGGGGGGCTGCGTTCCCCACACCAGCACACGGGTTCCGACTGCCCGGCGTGGGGAGGCCCAGCGGTGGCCTGAAGCTGGGGCTGGCGCCGTGCCCCAGAAGTCCGCTCGTGCAGGCTCCTGAGGCCCACACAGCACCTGTCAGGAGCCGATGGCGGCCAGCCCTCGGACGGCCTTGGTGACTGTGGCTGCATCTTCCACGGGTTTGGCTGGCATCGGGGAGGTCCTGCCCCTCCCAGCAGCCCTCAGTTCAGCCCGGGCCCCTGGCACTTGGCCGTGTCTGTGCAGACAAAGTAGGTCCTCAGCTCCCCTTTGCCCTTGACGTTGATCAGGCCCCGGCATTCGCAGGAGTATCCGAGGCCCTGGAGGATGCTGCTTGTCTCCTCGGTCACCTGGGAAGGGAAGGAGCGAGTTGCAGAAGCAGGCGGGACGCCTGGGGGACGGCGGGCAGACCGGCCAGCAGCAGCGCGCCTGTTCCCCGAGGCCTCAGCGGCTGGGCCCCAGTGAGCGGCCAGGTCCCCTCACCCGGGAGTGCTTTCCTCCTTGGTCCCCGGGGTCTGTACCTGGATCTTCCCCAGCTCTCCAGTGCTCTCCATTCTGCTGGCAACGTTGACCGTGTTTCCCCAGATGTCGTACTGAGGCTTCCGCGCCCCGATCACTCCAGCGATCACAGGCCCGTGGTTTATGCCTGGAGAGGACGTTGGCAGTTGCAGGTCATTGAGGCTAGAGAACCCCCACCAACCACAGACAGCCCCTCGGAATAGCTGAACGAGGCCTGAGCCGGAGGCCTGGATCGGTGCTTCCCCGGCACCCGCAGCGCCCGAGTGGGGCACTCGTCCTGCACCTCTAACTCTTCCCAGCGGCTCTGAGCACCGCCTGTGGCTCACAGTGACCATCAGGCCAGGAACCTGGTTCTCAGCGGCTGTAAACAGCTGTGACCTGGGGTTCCCCGCTGTCTGTAGAGATGTGTCATTTCAAAGGGAGTCATGTCCGTGGTGTGCCAGCTGCTGGGGTCGGAAAGTCGGGGCCCTCCAGAACCCTTCCCAGGAAGCAGGCGAGGACAGGGCCTGCGGGGCCTCACCGACGCGGAGGCGGAAGGCGTTGAAGGAGTGCCGGTTGATGCCGTCCAGCTTGCTCATCAGGGCCATGCTGAACTCCACCATGATGCCGATGTGGGCGTGCTGTCGCTCCAGGTCCTGGGGACAGCGGCGTCAGGCCCGGCCACACCCCGTCCTCCCGCCTCGACGGGTAGACGGATGCGCCAGCCGCCCTGATCTGCACTGTGTGGGCAAGAGGCCCACGGGAGGGGCCGTCGGCAGGCAGAGATGGGGCAGGGGCTTCAGCAGAGGGCCCTGGAGTTGCCCCTCACCACCCTCCCTCCTGGGTCAGGGCGTGGAGGTGCCCCCTTTAGGTGGCAGGTCTGGGCCTGGAATTTCACCTCGTGGGGCGGGGCCAAAGGCCACCAGACACTGCGTACCTGGTTCTCATGCCCAGAGGGCACGCTGAGCCCCGCAGCTGCCATGTAGGTGCTGCCAATGGTCTTGATCTTCTCCACGCTGCTGAACTTGGGCTTCAGCAGCAGCTGCGGACAGAGGGCAGGACTGGGGCAGCTGCGGCAGCCTGTCCCAGATCTCAGGGCGGCTCCCACCCAACCCTGGCCCTTCTGAAGAAGCCCTTTCTCACCCTGGGCTCGCCCGCCCGCTCGCCCCTATGGACCAGGGCGTTCTCTCCCTGCTCCTGTCTGTGCTCGTCTGGCCTCTGGTCTTCCTAAGGAGCCAGCTCTGCCACAGGGATGCTGGTTCTGTCCCCAGCTCCCAGGCAGGCCCGACCAACCCAGGCCGACCGCGGGGGCTGGCGGGGATTCCTCCACAGGGCCTGCCTCTAACCGGAGCCAGCTGCTGGCCAGAGAGGACCCAAACCCTTGAGTGCAGCGAGGAAAGGGCTGTGATGTGTCGTGTGCCCTCTCCGAGTGGTGGTACATTGTAGGTGGGCATGTGCCCCTGCCGCCCGCCCTGGCGGGGCCCACCTCATCGAAGTCGGCGATGATCTCGTTGAGCAGGCGCAGGCACTCCAGCCCCTCCTTGTTGACATCGCACTCCGTGTAGAACACTTTGAACTCGGGCACCGAGGCGAACATGACGCAGACGCAGTCGTAGGACTGATGGTACCAGTCCTGGGGGGAGAAGCGGGCCTGTGGCCACCTCCCGGCCCTTGGAGCCGGAGGAGCTGGACGCTGGCCTGATCCACAGTAGGAGACTCTCCCTCCCCCTACCCCTCTCTCTAAAATCAGTACACAGATTTTTAAAAAATAAAAACGGGAATTTCTGTCAGGTGGTCGGAAAGAGGCTCGGGCTGATTTTTGCTCTTAAATGCCCTGGGTCTGCAGAGCGGGGTCCCGAGCCCTGAGTAGAGGTCTCAGTCAGGAGACGCTCCGTCTCTGACCCGGCGGCACAGAGCTGGTGGCACTCGCGCTCATCACTGTCGGTTACACGCCACATCCTGCTGGCAGGCACCGTGGGCCACAGCCCGGGAGGGAGGCGCCCAGGTCGGCGCCCACGCCCGTGTCCCTGCGCGAGCAGCTCCCACCGTCCGCAGGCCCCACCGTGAGGCCAGGACCACAGAAAGCACGTGGTGGCTCTCAGCCCTCCCTCCGGGAGCGACGGCCGCCCGCCTCGGGCCGCACCTCGTTCAGCTTGTCCCCGATGAAGTGGGCGGCCACGTGGGCCGGCAGCACGTTCTCCAGCAGCAGGCGGTTCACGCTCTCCATGGTCTCAAACTCCTCGCGCTCCTTCTTGAACTTCTTCTTCCACAGACAGTCCAGGCGGCAGTAATAGTCAATCTGCAGACGGAACGGAGTCCTGGCCCCGTGAGCGGGGACCTGCCACCCAGCAGCAGGGCCCACCCTGTGACCGTGGTGAACGCCTCACTCGCATGACCCAGGAGTCACTCGGGTCCCCGACCGGGGCTTCCCCCCAGGACCACCTGCCCCCAGTCTGAGGCGGCCCAGCCCGCCCAGCCCTTCCCGAGGAGGGCAGGTCGGCGGCTGAGCTGGGAGGCAGCAGCGGCCGCCTGCTCACCTGTCGGGAGAGCAAGATGAGGGTGGCGTAGAACAGAACCAGGTAGAAGCTGATCATGGTCTTCAGATCCGACCAGGAGCAGATGGAGGAGCTGAGGGAGTGAAGGGAGAGGCAGGGTCCCTTCCAGCTCTCACCCCCAAACATGGGCATGGGGCCCAGACTCCCCCAGTGCCACCCGGGAAGAGCCACCGAGACCGGTTGCCTGGCGCAGACCATGGAGAAAAGGGGTGCAGGTCAGAGGTCAGCCTCCCTGAGGGGACATCTGAGCTCAGGCCCGGATGACAAGGAATGGCCACATTCGGTCTGAACAGGAAGCCTGGGCCGCGAGGGGACAGGAGGCGCCAGCTCCGGAGGCCCAGTGGGGCAGACGTGGGCCCTGGCAGGTGTGCAGGTGCCAGGCAACCCGCAGGGGCAGCCTGTCCTGGGCCCCCGGTCCCAGGCTCTAGTCCAAGGGGAGTCAGGCCCTCTTTCAATCCAATTAGGCCAGAGCCCCAGGACCACGCACACACCTGCCCCCTGGGCCAAGGGTCACCACCTGTCAGGACCACGCACACACCTGCTCCCTGGGCCATAGGTGCCACCCACCATCTGGGAGTAGGGCAGACACAGTGCTCTTTCTAGAACTCCAGCTGAAGCCTCTTCCCCACCCCAGACTAGCCTGCACACAGGACCTCCCAGGTGGCCTGTGAGACCAGGGACGCTCCCCAGAGAACTGGCCAGCCAGTCACTCAGCTCGGAGCGCGCAGACCGGAGCCCACGACTCCCTTCCTGTGAAGGAAACCACGCCGACCCCCGCAGGTGCCCACCCAACGGGCTCAGTCTGAAATGCCATGGAAACAAAGGGGATACAATGGGCCACCGTCACCACGGGCAGTGGGCCGGGCCCCACCTGAGGGTGGCGTTGGTCTCGGTGCGGTTGCGCAGGCCAGGGCCGCAGCAGTCCCACTGCGAGCACAGGGAGAGGTGGAAGAGCAGCAGGTAGGCCACCAAGGCCGCCGTCAGCAGCACCACCTTCAGCTCCAGGCTCATCCTCAGGAAGACGGAGCAGGCGACGAAGGCCAGGATGCAGCTGCAGGTGTGATACTGGGGGGACGGGGTGCTGGTCACCCACCATCTCCCGTCCCTGAGAGACACCTCCTGGCCCAGCCATCACCCAGGGAGGGGCGTCGGGGGCCCCGTGGAGAGCCACGTGTCTCAGCATCGCCCTCTGGCCTCCTGACTCCCTCACGAGGGGCAGGCCGTGGAGTCTACCTTCCTGTGCTGTCTTTACCGACCTTCACTTCCACTGAGGGCAAGTGGGCTCAGGGAAACAACGCATGGGAATGCTGCTGGTATGGAGATGTGACGCGGGGCGGGGCGGGGCAGGGGGAAGGACAGGGCAGGGGCAGGGGTGGGGCAGGGAAGGGGCACACACATGCCTGAACAGCCTCCCTGCCCTGAGTTTGGCCGTGAGCTTGTCCTCCCCAGTGCGTCTCTGCACCTCTCTCTCCTGCTCTAGAGCATGCTGTGGCTCCCCACTGCCCCCAGAACAAAGACGAAACCCTTCTCCCTGCAGTCAAGCCCCACCCTGAGCTGGATCAAACCCACCCACACTCTGGACCAAGTGCACCCACACCCAGACTCCTGTGGTCTCCAGCTCCGCCGCACTCTGGGGACTCGGGGTGGCGAGGGCCGGTGCACTCACTGGGAGGAGCTCGCAGGGGGTCCTCTCCTGGCTGCTCAGGCTGGTCTGGTTCCCAGCAGGCAGCCCCAGGGCTGGGGAGGGCAGCAAGGGCTGCAGAGAAGACGGTACCCGTGACAGATGGTCAGGGCCTGGGACTCCAGGACCTGCCAGGCCGAGCAGGGCTGGGCCTAAGGCCTCCGGCAGCATCACAGGCACCTCCCGCCAGGCCCAGCTCTGTGTCAGAGTCTAGTGGGTCAGGGGCACAGAGGTGGGGACGGGCGTGGAGTGGGGACGGGCACGGAGGTGAGGACGGGCGTGAAGTGGGGACAGGGGCGTGGAGTGGGGAAGACCTGACTAGGTGTGGGGCCTGGAAGGACCGTAGGGACATGGACGTGGACACGGAGCCTGGCCAGAGAGGCAGAGGCCCCATGTCCTCCCAGCTTGAGCCCAGGACGGCCCCCAGTCTCCCCGAGGGTGAGACGGGCCTCCTCCGGGGGACCGGGAAGAAAGAACGGGGTGTCTGGGACACCGTGCTTCAGGACACCTCCTGTGGGGCTGGCTGCGCGACCTCCCTGGGGCCCCAAACAGGAAAATGGGGGAGGAGCTCTCACCGCCACGGAACCCCCAGGAGGCCCGGCCACAGGGCTGTGCGGAGGGTTCCGCCACGGGTGGCTTTTAGGCAACAAAACTCTCGGGGTCCAGAATTGGGAGGTTCCCAGGCTCAGGCCTGGCTCCCGCCACCGGGAGGCGTGCATAGGGTCCTCGCCAGGGCCCCTCCCCACCCGGCACCAGAACCCACCATGTTGACGATGGCGATGGTGAGCAGGCTGCCCACGGTGAGCACGGCCAGGGCCACGCGCAGCAGCGGGTGCGTCTCCACCCTCCCGGAGACGGCCCGGAGCCCCGTCCAGGCCGGGCAGCACCGCTGGGAAACACAGGCTCATGTCACCCGCTCCTGCCCCGGACAGCGGGGACCCTGCCTGAGGCTTTGTGGGGGACGGGGGCAGGGTGGGGTTCAGGGAGGATAGCCCCAGGGCCCCGCAGCTGTGAGAGCCCAAGATCTCGCTCAGCTGGGGAGCATCGGCAGGTGCTGTGTCCAGAGCTCAGACACATGCGGAGCCCAGACAGAGGGACATGCCCCCTCTCGGGGCTGTGGACAGCTACGGCTGCTTGGGGACGCCTCTGGGGGAAGGGTCGGGGGGACACGGTGACTGCCCTTGAGGCAGGAGGGTCAGGGGGCGGGCTCACACCTCCTCAGCCCCGACACCCGTGGGCCCCCATGGTGCTGGGTCAGGGGCTCCTCACTCACCAGCAACTCGTCGGCGAAGCACAGGCCCAGCACCAGCCCCAGCACGCAGGCCACCAGCCCGAAGGACACCCCCAGAGCCACCGTCCTGCAGAGGGACAGGCGTAAGTTCTGGGGGAGCGTCTGCTCAGGGCTAAGCCTCCGACACACTCCCCCGTCTCCCAGCACCCCAGTCAGGCGCACAGCGGCCTCCTGCCTGCACCCCCCCACCTCCAAGCTGCTCTTCTCTACTCAGCTCAGAGCCCTCTGACCCCGTGTCCAGCTGCTGCGCCAACAGCTCCAGGGCCTGGCCAGACCTGAGGCCCGACAGCAAGCTCACGTCCCGTCTGCACCAAGTACAAGGGAGGGAGGGAACGCAGGCGTAGCCCGTGGCTGAGCGTCGACCTGTGAGCCAGGAGGTCACAGCTGGACTCCTGGTCACGGCACAGGCCCGGGCTGTGGGCTCGATCCCCAATAGGGGGCGTGCAGGAGGCAGCTCATCCATGATTCTCTCTCATCATTGATGCTTCTCTCTCTCTCCCTCTTCCTCTCCCTTCCTCTCTGAAATCAATACAAATATATTTTAAAAATGAGTGACTTCGCAGCGGGAGCCTCGGGCCTGGTCCGGAAACTCCCTGTCTTGTCTCAGTGGCGTCCTGAACACGGTGCCCTGCACTGCAGCCTAACCGCCCTCCAACCAGCAAGGGGCTGACCTTCCTCCCTCCATGGCCTCACCCCCACCCGGCCCCGCACAGGGCGCTGGGGGCAGACGCAGCCTCTTGGTGGTGGGCACCGGATAATGCATGACCCACGCCTCTGGGCCTCTGTGTCCCACAGCAGCAGCGGTTCTCAACCTTCCGGCCCTTTCAATACAGCTCCTCATGCTGTGACCCAACCATAACATTATTTTCGTTGCTACGTCATCACTGTCATGTTGCTACTGTGATGAATCGTCATGTAAATATCTGATCTGCAGGATGGTCTTAGGCGACCCCTGTGAAAGGGTCATTTGACCGCCAAAGGAGTCGCGACCCAGAGGTTGAGAACCGCTGGCTAAGAGGGAGGGAGGGCGCCAGGCAGGAGGCCCACATGGAGATGCCCCCCACGTGCGGACAGCAGGCTTCCAGGGTGAGAGGCGTGTGGGAGCTGGGAGGCCTGTGGCTCAGGCTCCAGGGAGCAGCCGTTCAATGAAAGCAAAAGCTAAGGGCTGGGAACTCCAGGGGTGGGGACGCCACGGAGGCATCATGGGCTCGTGACATCCGGCCCCCCTGCCGGCCGCCACCCCCGCCTGACCCCAGTGGGCTGACCGTCCTGCCCACCCCGACTGACCTGGGCATGAGCAGGACGTGGACCAGCAGGAGGCAGACGAAGACGAGGCTGGCGCAGGCGAAGTAGTGGCGGACCCGGGGGATGGGCGCCAGGCGGTACTGGGGGCAGGAGAGCGTGAGGGGCGGCCCGACAGCAGAGGCCCCCGCAGGGCCACGTGCCCTGACCCCTTCGGCCGACTCAAGTTAATCACCTTAAAGCACCTCACCCTCCTTGACAACCAACTCTCATTTGTCTCCACCTGGTGTCTAGAGGGGACCCTTGCCCTCCCTAACCCCAGCTCCCCCACTTTATCTCCACGTCCCTGAACAGCCAGGGCCCGAGGCCCCTCCCGGACAGCCAGGCGCTCACCTCTCGCTCGAAGCCCTTCTCCAGGAAGATGGGCCCGAAGGTGTAAAAGTCGTCAGACTTGGAGCAGCAGGGCCTAGGGGGCAGGAAGGGCAGTGAGAAGTGGGGAGTGGGAGGGCCCCCCGGGGGAAGGGATGGCCAGGGGGCAGGGCCCCCCTCTCAGGAGGCAGCACCAGGGAGGGGAAGGAGCTCCCAGGACATGACTGGAACTGGGCCACATGGGGGGCCCATTCGAGGGGGCAGGGCACACAGAGATCTAGGCCCCTCACCTCGTGGAGCTGAGCCCCTCAATGGCTGACAGCATCTCGTCGTCATAGGCGTCATCCTCCGACCGCCCCTTGGGGGACGCACTTCTGGAATCAGACACGCACCCAGCATCACCCCAGGGACCCGCGCAGCGGTCAGGGCAGCCTGCCTGGAGGAGGTGACTGGGACAGGGCTGGCGGGAAAGGCAGGCCATTGGGACGGGGAGGGGGCAGCACGCCTACCTGTCGGGGGTGCGGTGGCGCCGCAGCGGGATGGCCTGGAAGCGGGGGGAGAGACTGTCAGCCTCCAGAACGCGGGCGGAAGCCCATCCCGGGTCTCGGCCTATTGCCTCGGACACACGGGCAGGTGTGGGGGTGTGGGACCACCCCTGGATCAAACTGGACTCGGCTGGGGAACGAGGAGGGCGGAGACAGCCCAGCCGCCCTGCGCGCCCTCCACGTCCCCGGGAGGCGGGGCAGAAACCGCACCCATGTCACAGGTGGAGAGCGAGGGTCGGCACAGGCTCTGCTGCCCCCTTCGAGGGGCACCCCGGTCCCCAGCTCCCCGGGAGCACGGGCCCTACCTTGGGCCGCCGGCTGTTGGGGACAGGGGTCTCGCTGCTGCTCACGCTCTCGCGGTGGTTGAGGTGGGCGAAGGGCCGCTGGGCGCCCCAGGACTCGAGGTAGCGGGTCATCCGCAGGGAGGCCCGCATCTTCAGGGCCGCGTCCCCCTTGGGCTTGGGGAGGTGCTGGCTGGGTGGGGGCGGCTGCTGGCTCTGGGGGGACACAGAACCGCTCGCTTCCACTCTCACTGAGCACCTCATGGCCCCTGCGCACCAGCAGCTGCGGCCCGGGGGGTGGGGGGGGGACCGGGGGGCGGTACAGGGGAGCTGGAGAGGCTGGAGAGGCTCTCGGCAGTTGGGCCAGCCCAGAGGACGGCCAAGGCCAGGGTGAGGGAGCGCGAAGAGCCTGCATGGCCGACATTCCTGAACGCGCCCCAAGGATGATTCACCGGCAGCCGGGGGACAAGCAGGCCTCCCGGGGCGGGGAGAAGGGCCTGTGCGGGGGCGCGGGGCCGGCTGGGAGCGGCCCGAGGGCCCCCACCTCGGGGTCCTGATGAAAGTGGAGGCGTCGCTGACCAGGCCGGCTCCAGGGGGCAGAGTCCGGACACGTGGAGGCCGGCCCTGCCGCCCCTGGCCCCGCAGCCCCGGCCATTCCCCGCTTTCCTGTGCCTCATCCAAAGCGTGGCTTTCAAACGTGCCTTTTGGAAATCGGGGCGATCAGCGCCGGCCGCAGGGAAAGTAAACGCCTGGTGACTGATTTCCCGGGTGCTCACCATGCGCCCGGGGCTCTCCTCGGGGAAGGGTGGGGGGCCTTGTTATTCCCATTTCATGGAGAAGGACGCCGAGGCCCAGGGAAAGCGTTCCGTGGGGCCTGGACCACACCCAGTGACGGGGGGCTCACTCCCACCCCAGCAGGCCTCTCGCCGCTCTCCCTCCAGGCACCTTCCCCGGGTGTGGGTGTGGGTGTCCTCCCGCCCCCCCGGCCCCGCCCCGCTGCATCGGAGCCGCGTACCCGGGGGTCGATGACCAGGTAGGTTTGGATGTTCATCTCCTTCAGGTAGGGGTCCCGCTGCTGCCCGTGCCCATCCTCCACCTCGTACGCCTTGTCCAGGTGGTTCAGGGTCGCCTCTGTGATATGCACCCGTCTGGGAAAGACCCAAGTCAGGGGGAGCAGCAGGACCCAGAGAGGGCCGGCACCACCCAAGGGTGCTCAACAGCCAGAGCCGGCAGCCCGGAGCCCAGCTGGCTCCCCCCACCCCACCTCCCTGCAAGCTCACTGATACGTCCTGCCCCCTGCCTCAGCCCCCCCATCCAGTGTCAGGAGCTCAGAGCTTCCTGGGAGCCTCACCCGGGGACTCCAGCCGCCTCCATCCTGTTGGCCAGGGACACGTCGTGGGACCACACGTCGTACTGCCACTTGCGCAGCCCGATGACACCGCACAGCACGTTCCCCGAGTGTATGCCCACACGCATGCTGATGTCCACACCCGTGGCCTCCCGCACCTGCCTGGGGCAGAGCAGGAGGGTCACCTCACCTCACCCGAGGGCAGGCTCAGGGTCCCAGTCGGGCGTGTGGCCTGGGGGAGGGTGTAGGAACAGGGGAGGCGCAGTTCACAGAGAAGGTTTGCGGCCTGATGGGGCCCTGAGCGCCTCCTGCTGCCGAGCCTGCCCTCGGGGGAAGGGAGCCCAGCTGCCCACCCTCACGCCCCAGCTCTGAGCTCCCGACACTCGGAAGCCCAGTGGGGGGACCCAAAACAGGCACTGGGTGATCCAGGCTCGCCACCTGCCCCCGAGCCTCAGTTTCCTCATCTGAAAAACGGGGACGACGCATGCCCCACCGTGCCCCGGGAGGCAGGAGGAGACCGTCCCAGGGACCGGCCCCGGGCCCCGGGAGGCAGGAGGAGACCGTCACAGGGACCGGCCCCGGGCCCCGGGAGGCAGGAGGAGACCATCCCAGGGACCGGCCCTGGTTCCCGGCCCACCCGTGGTACCTACTTGATGGCCTCACACATGTCCAGCCCCATCTTCACACAGTTGCGGGCGTGGGTGGGCAGGGACACGGGCAGGCCCGACACGCAGTAGTAGCAGTCCCCCAGGATCTTGATGCGCATGCACTCGTTGGCCTGCGGGGCCAGGGGGAGGCGGGTCGGCGGGGGGGCCCGGGTCGCACAGGCCGCAGGCCGTCGCCTCGCCCACACCCTCCGGACCCCCATGGCCGAGGGGCGGCAGCACCGGCTGGCGGGCTGACCTTGGCGATCTGGTCGAACTTCCCGAACAACTCGTTCAGCATCACCACCAGCTCTTTGGGGGAGCAGTCGCTGGCCAGCCGCGTGAAGCCCACGATGTCGGCGTAGAGGATGCTGGGGGGGCCGGGGGGGGCAGCGGAGGGTCAGAGGCAGCCGTGCCGGACAGGGCTGCAGGGACACGGGCCCTCCGGAGCCCCGCCACCCTGCACCCCGCAGCCCCCATAGGGACGGGAGAGACGCTCTGAGGGTTCACTTTAAAGCGAACCCAGAGTGTGCAGGGCCTCCCGACCCCCCCAGCCCAGCCCAGCCTCCTGCAGTGAGAGATGGTGCTCCCGGCCGGTGCTCCGGCACTGGGCACGGCCTTCTCCTCGCCTACACCTGGCTTCCCGCCTTTGCAGACTTCAGAACCACAGGCCCCATTCGCTCCGCCTCGCCCTACCCTCGCAGGATCCCATCCTCCAGATGAGCACACTGGGGCTGCCTGGGAGCCAGAGCCGCACGGGCACCAGACCTCCCAGCTGCAGTCTGAGCTCTGGGCCGCCCACAGCCCCGACGGGAGGCGGGAGGCAGGGAGCCTCCCCAGGAGACGCCATGCGCACAGGCCCGGCCGCTGCCCACCTGACGTTCTGGTGCCGCTTGACGTAGAGGCTGTGGAAGTTGTTGTCGGGCATGTAGCGGCGGTCCCCGCACTCCTTGAGCCGCTCGATGATGGTCAGCTTCATGCCCATGGAGATGTGGGCCGGGAGCACCGACAGCAGCAGGTTCTCCTGGACACGGGGGGACGGGGGGGGACAAGCGGGGGGACGTCGGACCCAGGCTTTACCTACACGTCTCTCCTTTCTGCTCTGCCAATCACCCCTCCACCTCTGCTGGCCTGTGTCCTGCCACCAACCCAGCCGGGCACACATCCCCACGTGTCCCCAGCAGCCCCTGGGGTGAGCCTGCAGGGATGTCCAGCCACGTAGCCCCTGCACACACGGCTCTGGGAGCGCCTGCTGCCCACAGAGAAGGACGCTGGGCCTGGGGCCTGGGGCCTGGGAGTCAGCCAGGCTGGGGCTTGGGCGGGAGGGGGGGCGGGCGCACACCCACCTGCTGGCGCTTCTCGATGCGCAGCTTGCGGCGGATCTGGATGCACTTGACCGTGTAGGTGAAGAGCTCGAGGGCGGCGCCCTGCATGTGGTGCTTGTGGAAGGCGCCCGTGAGGTTCCCGCACAGGAAGACGACCGCGTTGGCCAGCAGCTGAGGTGGGCGCACACATGGCTCAGGTGTGGCCTGGCCCCTGATCCCGGGGGACTGTCCCCCTTGCCGAGCTGGCGATGGCACCCCGCCCATTCCCTGACCGCCAACCCGCTCAGGCTGCACCCTTCCTGGGCAGACAGGGAAACTGAGGCCCAAGCAGGGGCTGGTCTCCTAGGGAGTCACTATAACCACGGGACCAGGGCTCAGGCCGGCTCGGCATCCGCCAGCCCCTCCCTGGTCCAGAAGGGCTGGACCCTGGAGACCAGGGGAGCCAGTTAGTTCTGGGAAGTAGGACGGCCCGTCCCAGGGCTCAGGGCTCAGAGCCCGAGGGGAGCACCGGGGACTGTCCCCAAAGGCACAGCGCCCCCCCCCCCCACAGCTGCCCAGAGCCCCCTCCTCCGCCCCCGGAGCCGGCACCAGGCCCGGCCAGGAGGAAACCACATGTCACAGCAGCACTGAGTGTGACCAAGTTCACTCACTCAACACAGACACAGGACAGAAGCCCAGGGAGGCCCTGCGGGCGACACCCCAGGAACAGGCCTCCCCAGGACAGTGCCCGCACCCAGAACAGGGCCAGGACTTGGTGAGGAGCTGAGCCTCTGGGTACCACGGGCCAGGTGCCAGCCCCGGCGTCCGGCTTCCAAAGAGAGCCTGCGCTGAGGCCAGCGGGCTGCCAGTGGGGCTCCAGGCTTCGGGACCAACTCACCCCACGGGCCTGGCTGCCCTCAGCCCAAACCACAGCCCCACCCAGACCCCCGGAGCCCCTCACCTGCACCCCACCCAGACCCCCAGATCCGCTCACCTGCACCCCACCCAGAACCCCGGAGCCCCTCATCTGCACCCCACCCAGACCCCCAGATCCGCTCACCTGCACACCACCCAGACCCCCGGAGCCCCTCATCTGCACCCCACCCAGACCCCCAGATCCGCTCACCTGCACCCCACCCAGACCCCCGGAGCCCCTCACTGCACCCCACCCAGACCCCCAGATCCCCTCATCTGCACCCCACCCAGACCCCCAGATCCCCTCACCTGCACCCCACCCAGACCCCCGGAGCCCCTCATCTGCACCCCACCCAGACCCCCAGATCCGCTCACCTGAACCCCACCCAGACCCCCGGAGCCCCTCACTGCACCCCACCCAGACCCCCAGATCCCCTCACCTGCACCCCACCCAGACCCCCGGAGCCCCTCACCTGCACCCCACCCAGACCCCCAGAGCCCCTCATCTGCACCCCACCCAGACCCCCGGAGCCCCTCACCTGCACCCCACCCAGACCCCCAGAGCCCCTCATCTGCACCCCACCCAGACCCCCAGATCCGCTCACCTGCACCCCACCCCGACCCCCGGAGCCCCTCATCTGCACCCCACCCAGACCCCCAGATCCCCTCATCTGCACCCCACCCAGACCCCCAGATCCCCTCACCTGCACCCCACCCAGACCCCCAGATCCCCTCACCTGCACCCCACCCAGACCCCCAGATCCCCTCACCTGCACCCCACCCAGACCCCCGGAGCCCCTCACCTGCAGCCACACCCAGACGCTGGGTGACGAGGAGACCCCCATCAGCGTGCCAAGCACCAGGAGGTGGGACACGCTGGAGACGACCCCGACCGCGACGGCGCCCCGCATGGTGAAGGGCAGCAGCGTGTACACCACGAAGACGATGAACAGGAAGAAGGGCACCTGGCACAGGACACGGTGAGTGCAGGGCCGGCCGCCGCCCACCAGGACACAGCCCAGACCCCGCTGGTGGCCATCTCGGCCCGACTGGGCACGGCCTGCCCCGGGGCGAACGACACAGCGGAAGCAGAGCCCAGAGGAGTCGGGTGTGGCCCCTGCTGGGGCCCCGGGACCGACCCCTCAGCCTTTCCTGGCACATGAGCCCGTCCGTGCCTTTTGCTTTTCTGAGCTGGACATGGGTTACCTCCAGCCCAGGGAGGGTCCATCCAGAAGAGCCCAGACAGACAGACAGACAGGCGGACGTGCCTCCCGCCTCCATCCGTCCCGTCGGGGTAGAGACTGAGGCCAAGGTCAGCCCAGGGCCCAAGTCACAGAAGCACAGCCTGGGAGCGGGAAGGGCCGGGGCCAACCTGCCACTGCTGGTCCATGCAGCCTCCACAGGGACCTGATGGCCAGAGACGGCACAGCGAGGAACGGCATCCAGCCCCCAGCGGCACCGGGGCCCTGCCTCGTACCTGCTCCCACGCACAGGCCGCCTTCGTCCACGCGTTGAACACCAGCACGTAGCCCAGCGTCACCAGGCAGGCCCAGATGAGCAGCGCCGAGGTCCGGAGCCACCGTTGGACCAGGCACTCGACGTACACCAGCACGTACAGCACCACGAACACGGCGAGCACCAGGAACGCCGTCACCAGCACGGCCTGCCGTCCGGAGAGGTCCTGGGCGTGGAAAACACACACGGACGTGTCACGGCTTCCCCAGTGGGTGCCGCCTCCTCCAGGAAGCCCGCCAGGCTAGCCTGTCCACCTGCCTCACTCACCCCGTAGCTGAAAGTGATGACGATGAGGGCGATGCAGGCCACGATGACCACCAGCAGGAGCGTGAGCAGCAGCGGCCCGTGCTGGCTGGTGAGGCGGTACTTCTCGTACAGGGCATCGTGGTCCGGGCCCTCCTCGCCCTCATTGAGGAAGTAGCGCCCCTTGGCCGGCATGCTCTGCCCCTGGCACACCTGCTCGGGAAGCCCACTCAAAAGAGCCCAGGGCCTGGAGGGCATCTGTGTGCCGACACCCTCCCTGCGGGCCTAGGCCTCTGGCCGCTCCGAGCCCGGCAGGGGGGGCTGGGGAGGGGGCCCCTCGGCCTGCAGGTCCATGGGCACCGCGGTGCCTGCCGGCTCCACCCCAGGCCTCGGTCACTGCGCTTCTGGCATCTTCCTTGGCATCCAGGCCAGGCTGACCAGACTCACGGCTCCTCAGCTCTGCAGACACACAAAGCGACCCGGATGTGAGCTGGGCGGCCGCATCCGGGAGGGCTGGCATCGGGGCGGCAGGGCCAGGCCTCAGCCTGCGTCTGATCTCTCAGCCTCAACCTGGACCGAAGTCCAAGTCCTGCTGGGGCTGTGCACACCCCAAGTCACAGAGCTTGTCCCCTGGGCTCCCTGGAACCGCTCTGTGGGGTACAGCAGTCGCCAGTCACACACGGCTCGAAAAATTAAAGTTGATTAAAATGAAATTAAATACTCAGCCCCAGCCTGGCCGGTGTGGCTCCGTGGTTGAGCAGAGAGCCGGAAGCTTCCCGCCGAGCTCTCTCCGGCAGCGGCAGCCCCGGGACTGAACCGGCTGCCAGTTACACGCAGCCGCCTGCCCCTCGGGGATGCCAGGCTGAGCAACCCCAACCCCAACCCCGAGAAACGCTAACTCCCATGGCGGCTCCATCCCCGGCAAACCACACACACTCACAGACACAGACACACACACACACACTCACACACAGACACACACACATTCACACACAGACACACACACACACTCACACAGACACACACTCAGGCCGCGGGAGGCCCAGGCCGCGGGAGCCTGGAGGGCAGGGGGGTTCCCCGCTTTCTCTCTAGTGACCTCCTCCCAGGGAGGAATTAGGGGGCTCAGGGCACCCTCAGGTAGAAACGGATGCCAGGAGCATCACCCCCCATGCGAGCCTGGCAGGAGGACTCCCTGCACCCCAGGCCTGAGAGGGGTGGAGGATCCACATACAAAAGCCACTGAGTGCCCACTGAGCACCCAATGTGTGCCCGGCGCCGTGTGCCCAACCCACTCGCCCGCCCTGTAGGCGAGTAGGACTCCCGCTTCCATTGCGTGGGTGTGGGACTGAGGTCCGGCCATTTCCCTGAGGTCACAGAGCTGGTGAGAGAGCCGGGATTTGAACACAGGCCATTGGGGTCCACTCTCGTCCTGCCCGTCGCCCTCATGGCGCTGCCACCCACGGGGCCCATCACATCTCAAATGTCACCCCCTCCTGCCCCTCCCTGTGGAGGCCCAGGGCAAGGTCAGGCAGCCTCCTCAGCCAGCTCGGACCAGGGCGGCCTCCTTTTCCAGGAAGCCCTCTGAGCTACGCCACACCCCATCGCTTCCCGTCCCACAAACGAGACGGGCCGCCCAGGCTCTCCTGGCCAGATGCCGCCCAGTGGGGTCCAGGTTCGGCAGCTGCTGGAAGCTGGGGGCCTGGGCCTCACATTACCACCCAGGACTGGGCCTCCAGGGCAGCTCAGGAAATCGGTCCCCTGTGCAGCTGGAGGACCCGGCAGCCACCAGTCTACCACGCCCTGGGGACTTCAAGTCCACCCCCTCTACCCCCTACCCCTACCCCCCGCTTGCAGATGCGGGCCCCCACTTCCTCACCCAGGCCGAGCCGGCAGGAACCCCGGCCTCCAGGCCCTGGGCTGGTGGCCTCCGAAAGAGGAAGTGGGGGCGACAGGCCTGAGGAGAGGAGCCCGCTCAGTCTCCTCGCCACCCCTGCGCCCGCACCCCAAACCCACAGCGCCGGCTCGCCCCCTAGGCCGGCTGAGAGCTCGGGGGCTGGGTGCCGGGGGGGGGGGGGGGAGGGGTGTGGGGAGGGGCCTTTGCTGAGGGAGCTGTGGGGGAGCCCAGCGGCCGCTCTGCCCAGCACAGGCCTGGCACTTAGGGGAACCTCATGGGACCAAGGGATGCCCGCCGTTCAGGCACGCCAGCCCACCCACACTCCGGCCTCACTCTGCTCGTCGGCACACCCCCAAGTCGGGGGAGTGAGGCGCAGGCCACAGGGACGGACAGGCCAGGTTCGCAGGACAACTGGCCAATGAGCCCAGAGAGAAGGCCCAGTCCCAGAGCCGGGAGGCCCATCCCTGGGGCAGAGGCACCCAGAGGCTGGGTCCCCAGGGCCCCTCCCTCCGGGGACAGCCCGCAAAGCCACCAGGCAGGGTAAAAGCTGAAGCCCCCCAGGGACGTGAGCAGCCCCGCCCCTCTCTCTGCTCCCCCAAAACTCCTAGGCTGATGACCCCAGCCCCGGGGGCCACAGGCTGCCGTCCAGCCTTGGGGACACGAGGCCTGTGCTCCAGCTCCACCTCCAACCTGCTCCCTGGCCCTGGGCAGGTCTGTGCCCGACCTGGGCCCCGGGGTCCCCGCTTGCAAAGGGGTGACGTCAGACCGCTAAGGCCCAGCTGTGGCTGCGTGTGGAGGACTGACAGAAGCGGGCAGGAGACCCCTGGAGGCTGCCCCTGGTCCCCGGGCGGTTCTGGAGGAGGCGGGCATAGGTAGGGAATTATTCTTTGTACCCCAAATCCTCATTTCTGCTTTTCCTCTGTCCTCTTTAAAATGCAAATACCCCATGTATCCCTCCCCGCAAGGCACCAGCTGCCAGGGATCATCCATCCGGTTTGGCACCTCCTGTGCCACTTCTAATGACAGTTCATCCATTCATTCACCTTGAGAGAGAAGCATGCATTCATTCATTCGTTCCCCAGATATGCACTAGAACCTTCCGTGTGCCAGGCCCCAGGTGAGGTGCCAAGAGGCAGGCGCTCCAGGCACACGCTCCCAGAAGGCACAGACCTCGTGCCCAGCTCCCGGGTGACTGCAAGGGCCCCGCACACAGTGGGTGCTCAGGCAACCGCGTCTATTGGAAGAGCAGTGCCCCCCACGCCGCTTGCCTGAAATTTCACCCCTGGTGACTCACTCCTTTACGCACGGCCCTAGCTAGGCCCCCCTTTTAGGAGGGAAACACCTTTCCGCCCGTGTTTAACACACTCCCATCCCTTCCCCTCGATAAGGGTAAAGGCAGAAAGGGGAGTCCAGCGGCGCCTTGGGGAGCCTCACGCCATGCGAGTCCCCCCCCCCCCCCCGGACCACAGGACAGCGGGCTCCCACGGCCACCCGGACAGCAAGGCGCGAGAGGGCCCGGAGGTGGGAGAGGAGATGTATCCACTAACCCGCAGACAGGAACCAGGGGAACCACTGCATGGGGGGTGCGGGAGGAGGGTGTAAGTTCGAGTCTGAAGTCCGGCACTGCTCGCTGCCTGTTTAAAGATGCAGCAGAGGCCAGAGGAGACAGCCAGGAGGGTTCATGTTCACACCGGACGGTGGCCAAGGGGAGCCAGAACCCACAAAAGAACTCTCTGTGATGCTGTAGCGAACACATCCTAACGTCGCACAAAACCTACCAAAAGCAAAACCCACAGAGGAACGATTAGGAAAACATTTGCAAGTCTTACGGCAAGACGTGAACCTCCCTCCCTATGTAAAGAGCTCCTACAAAAAAATAAAAAGTAAATGAAAAGGCCATTAACCCAACAGAAACATGGGGGAAGGTGTGGACAGGAAGCTCACGGGAAGGCAAGGCAATGGCTCTTAAACATCTGGAAAGAAGCTGACCCCATCCACACCATACACACACACACACACACACACACACACACACACACACACACAGACACACACACACAGACACACACACACAGACACACACACAGACACACACACAGACACACACAGAGAGAGACACACACACACAGACACAGACACACACACACAGACACAGACACACACACACACACACAGACACAGACACACAGACACACAGACACACAAACACAGACACACACACAGACACACACACAGACACACACAGACACACACACAGACACACACACACAGACACACACACAGACACACACACAGACACACACAGACACACACAGAGACACAGACACACACACACAGAGAGACACACACACAGACACACACAGACACACACACACAGAGAGACACACACACAGACACACACACAGACACACACAGACACACACAGACACACACACAGACACACACACACAGACACACACACAGACACACAGACACACACACAGAGACACACACACAGAGACACACACACAGAGACACACACAGACACACAGACACACACACAGAGACACACACACACACAGACACACACACGTGTAATAAGAGAAATGCAGCCCTAACCGGTTTGGCTCAGTGGATAGAGCGTCGGTCTGGGGACTAAAGGGTCCCAGGTTTGATTCCGGTCAAGGGCATGTACCTTGGTTGCGGGCACATCCCCAGTAGGGGGTGTGCAGGAGGCGGCTGGTCGATGTTTCTCTCTCATCGATGTTTCTAACTCTCTATCCCTCTCCCTTCCTCTCTATAAAAAAAAAATATATCAAAAAAAAAAAAGAGAAATGCAGATTAAATCTCCGAAGGAAAGCCATTTTTATTTATCCGACCGGCAAAGGTCAAAGCGCTTCACAGACCTGTGCTGGCCGGCCGGGGAGAAGCAGGCACTCGCACTCACACTCACTCACACTCGCACTCGCTCACCCTGACAGGAGCGAGGCTCAGCGCCACCCGGGAAAGGCAGTTAAGTCATATCTAACCAAGTCGCTAAGGTACACAGACCTTTGACCTAGCAAATCTACTTCAAGGAACTGGTCCTGCTACACGGTCAGGTGTGTGAGGTGACATGTCCAAGTATTCACTGCAACGTTGTGTGTGACAGCCAAGACTGGGAACGACGCGTCTGCCAGCCAGACGCTGGTGAAATAAACCTGGGCACATCCTCACGACGGAACACTATGCAGCTGTCAAAAGGGGGGCCGCAGCCGGAACAGTCCTGTCCCAGGGGATCCGCAAAAAATCCCCATGGCAACAGCAACGCCTGGGAGAGGGATGGAGCCAGGACACGAAAAACCAAACCTGCTGGTTGGACGCAGCGAACAAATCGTCCTTCCCTGCATCTGCGGTTTCTGCTTCTACGGTCAAATGCAGCTCGTGCAGACTTCTAAAAAGTCTTTAATAGGAAAACCGGGATCTACTGTACGCATCGTGTCCACAGTTAACAATACTGCGCTGTAGACTTAAAGTTTCTTCTAAGAGGGTAGGTGTTCGGTGCTATCGGAAAAATAATGATAGATAGAGTCAAAGAAAACTTTGGGAGGTGACGAAAGGTTGATGGCATAGATGCCGGTGATGGTTTCACGTGTGTACACTTATCTCCAAACTTACGAAGTCGTCTACATTAAAAATGTACGGCCCGGCCGGTGTGGCTCAGTGGTTGATCGTCGACCCATGCACCAAGAGGTCACGGGTTCGAGACCCGGTCAGGGCAATTTTTAAAAAAGTACAGCTTTGGGTATGTCCATCACATCGCAATAAAGTGGTTTTTGAAATAAATAAAGTAGATAAGGGCACCAGTAGAAAAATTCAAAGGACAATGTAAGGCGGTTGACGACTAAAGTGACTGTGGGTTTAGCATGTCGACATGGAAAGATGTGCTCCCAGCATGTTAGTTGGAGTGTGGGGGCACATATACGCATGTGTGTGTGTAAACATAAAAATCCATTAGATTATTTTAAAAAGGAAGCAAATCTTAGGTGCATGGTGTCTAAGTGCGCGGCCCTGAGGAACCTGCGGACCCCTCTGTGCCTCAGTTTCCCACTTGAAAACGGGAGAATGGCATTCTGACCACACAGAGCTTTGAGGGGGTGCGATGGGGCGATGTGGGCAGAGCACCGGGCTGCACGTGGCACCCAGGACCCAGGTCAGAGGACAAGGATCATCAGGTTGGCAGAGAGCCCAGAACCTGCGCCTCCCGCCCCACCCTGGGCCTGTCTGAGCCACAGCACGGGGGTCCGGCAGCCCAGGCCCCCGCTCCACCCTGAGAGTGATCTGGCCTCTGGGGTGGAGACAGCTGTGGTCAGCACCTCGGGGTGCTGCCTGGGGCCATGAGGAGCAACACGGCGGACGCCCCCATGAGGTGCCCGGTTAGGCCTCCAGGGAGCGGCTATCCACTGGGGCAGGGGTTTGCGGGGACATTGGTCCGAGGCAGCGAGAACTCCCAGGGGCATCTGGCCCCCACCCCAAGCCCTCGAGGTCTGCTGACAGGGGAGAAAGCATAACACCCAACCCTCCAGACAACCTCTGAGCCCATCCGGAAGCACAGGCAGAAAACCAGGCAGGCTGGGGTCCCCCACAGTCAGCCCTCGAGCACCTCCCGCCAAGTGAGCAGGGCTGGGAGCGGCCTGGGCAAGGTCCTGCCACCCCGACCCCCGGCCAGGGGAAGGCTCTGGGATCCTCACCTGCTCGGCCAAAGTCCCCAGCTGGGAAGCAGCAGGGCTGAGCCTCAAACCCAGACCTGCCCACTCTGAGGCCCAGGCTCTCTCGTAAGCCGCCGCCTCTGCGTTTCCCGAGACGGGCTCTGCCCAGGGCCGGGCGCGACAAGCGATGCACACATGGCCCCCTCACCCGTTCCTGTCACAGGCAGCGCAGGTGAACATTCCCCTCCTCCTCCCACGATCCCTGAGCACATCAGCAGAGCAAAGGCTCTGACAAGGCCTGCAGGAAAGGAACTTGTTGGACGAAAGGCAGCTGCACATTTCCGTCTTCCTGGCTCAAGGGGCTCTCTCTGCATGAAGTCCCTCAGGACTGGGAAATGCTGACTTCGGAGCCTCTGAGAGTCAGCTCAGAGCTTCTCCCCCAAGCAGACTTCCTGGGCAACCGTGGCCAGACAGGCCGCTCCCCTCACCTCCCCTCCCCTCCTCTCCCCTCCCCTTCTCGGACAGCCTGGGAGCCCCACTCCCCCACACCCACCGGCCCTGGGTTAGGCAGGATGGGCACACAGTGGGGGGGCCGGCCCTGAGCTTGGCCTCCGGGGTGGGGGTGAGAGAAGACACAGGAGATGCCGGGGAAGACACCCCTGCCCTGGGGGAGTTTTTAGTCGGGGAGACACCTGCCCCTAAGAAGAGGAGCAGAAACGAGCTCTAAACACCAGCCAGGAAGAGGCCTCCTGTCCCACCTGCTGTCTCTCCCACGCAAGGCAGCGAGGGGGCCCCCCCCCCGCCCCCCCCCCCCCGACCTGCCACAGAGCCCCAGGCCGACCGCCAGGGGACCCTCTCAGCTCTGCCCCTCTCGCCCCTGGGCCTGATCCCTCCAGCGTCTCCTCAGACCAGCAATGGAGGGACCACAGGGAGGGCAGGGGCCAGGGCACCCCGCCTGGAGCCCGCAGGCCACGTTTGGGGCCTTGGCGGCCCCTGGCCATCCCCAGAGCCCAGGGAGGCATCACTGCGCCTGCAGCCGCTGCCGGGCCCCGAGGTCCCAGTCTGGCTCCTGCAGCGCCAGCAGCCATCCCAGGGGGACCCCATTCCCCCGCTTCCTGAGCACCTGGGCCGGGCCAGCACAGCCCGGAAGTGCCCTTCTGGAGGCAAGCAGCCCGGCCGACCACCCCAAACCACAGCCCGGCTTCCGGAGCGGCACCCACACGGGGGCACCCACATGGAGCTCGGGGGGCCCTCCATTGCCGGCCTTGGAGCCAGCCCCCCCATCCGGGCCACTCACTCCTCCCACAAACCCCTGCCCTCCGGAGCCAGGCTCGGCTGGGCACGCACAGTGCCTCGATGGAGTCTCAGGCCACAGCATCCCCACCCCCGCCCCCCGCAAACCCGAGCCTCCCTGGGGTAGTCCACCAGGCTCCCCGCACCTGCCCAGGACCCCAAGAACACCCAGCCCCGTCCTGCTCACCCCCTGGCCAGGAACCTCCAGCTGGGCTCCCCGAGGCCTCCTTCGGGGCTGCATGATTTGACTGATTTCGGTTCCCCAAACAAGCCCCGCCCTCCGGCCTCCTGCAGCCTGAAAGCACTGCCTCCTCCCCACCCCTGGCGCCCTCTGCCTGGCAGACTCCTGCCCGCCCTTCCGTGCCCGCTCAGCTGCCACCTCCTCCGGGAGGGCCGCCGCGCCCACTTGATTTGGATGCACAGCCTGCCCTCCCCGGTCCAGCACAGGGCGCCTGGCCTGCCACTGCCGGGGAGGGACCCCTCTCCCCAGACAGGCCTGGCCACGCACTTCCACCTCCCAGGATGCAACCCCGCCAGCACGCAGGCGACACTCAGACCCCAAACTCCATGCCCCGGCCGAATACAGCCGCACCCACCCCTGCACCGGGTCCCGTGTGCCTGAGCCCTGGCGGGTCACGTCCCCCACGACGTGGTTTCTCCCCTGAGCCACGGGGATGAAAACGCCCCCACGCCAGCCTGTTCCGGCGTGAAGTGACCTCGGGGCTATGAAAACCTCCTAAACGCGGGAGAAGGTCACCCAAGAGGAGCTGAGCCCACTCTGGCCAAGGCTCACCACCCGCCGCCACCACCGAGATGGGCGCGGGGACAGGGGCGCGGGCCCGGAAGCGGCTCCGCACCAGGTGTCGCCAGGGCTGGGCAAGGCCACGCCGTGACACGGACAGCTGAGAAATCCGCGGGCAGCGGCGGGTGGAGCCGGATGCCGATGGCTATCGGTGGGCACGCTGCCAGCTCCTTGGGGGACGGGGATGGCAGGAGCCACAGGTGGGCCACTGGGCCCCACGGGCCGGCAGGAGGCCTCCGGCCACGGCCAGGGAAGCCACAGGGCCGGGCCTGCGGGTCTCAGATGCCTGGGACGTGCTTTTCATGCCTTTCACTCTCCCCGAAACCTGCTGGGGCACTGCCACTCCGCAGGGGAGGAAACTGAGGAATGAGGATCGGCCCAGGGCCCGAGGCCGCCGGGCAGACGGAGCCGCACCCCAGCAGGACAGCCACGCAGCCGCCTCCCTGCTCAGCGGCTCCCGCCCAGGCCCAGCGCTGCACCTCCTCCCAGCACCGACCTGCGGGAGCCACAGCACCCAGCGCCCAGGTGCGAGCCGCCCAGCCCTGCTCCTCACGCTGCCGCTGCCCGGAGGGGGCCAGGGGGCCGGAGCCGCGGCTGCCACCAGTGTCACTGGCTCTGCCTGGAGGGGGCTGCACCCGGGACCCCCACACGACCCCGCTTCTCCGGCTGATCAGATGCGGCATCTCATTCGCTCCCGTGACCCAGGCCACAGGAGCTCCCAGCGCTCAGCTACGTACGTACGTCCCATTTTTTAATTTAAAATGTTTATTTTTTTATTGATTTCAGAGAGAGGAAGGGAGAGGGAAAGAGAGAGAAACATCAATGATGAGAGAGAACATGGACCGGCTGCCTCCTGCACACCCCCCACTGGGGATCGAGCCTGCAACCCAGGCCTGTGCCCTGACCAGGAATCGAACCAAACCATGACCTCCTGGTTCTAAGTCGACGCTCAACCACTGAGCCACACCGGCCGGGCTACGTGGGACTTTTTAAGCAGAGTAAATGCTTCAAAGATCCTCCATCAGCACCTCCTCCCCCCCGAGACCCAACCCCTCCAAAGCCCCAACGGGGCTGTGACCACTCTGCCTGCTCCCGGAGGCCCCGAACTTCCCATTATCGTCCGACTGGGCCAAGCTGCCATCACGCAGTGAGAGTGCCCTGCCCCTCCCTCCCGGACAGGAGGGGGAGGTGAGGGACGGGGCAGCCACCAGACACCTCACCCTGACCCTGGGGTGGGGGATGGAAAGTCATGGAAAGTCCTGCCCGGCCGGCGAGGCTCAGTGGGTGAGCGTCGACCCGTGAACCAGGAGGTCACGGTTCGATTCCCGGTCAAGGGCACAGGCCCGGGTTGCGGGCCCCATCCCCAGTGTGGGGCGTGCAGGAGGCAGCTGAGCTGATGGATGCTTCTCTCTCATCACTGATGTGTCTACTCACTATCCCTCTCCCTTCTTCAATAAAAATCAATAAAAACCTATTTTAAAAAATAAAAGTTACGGAAAATTCAAAGGGCCGGTCACCTACCTCCCAGCTGAGGCCGGACTCGCGACTCGAACGCAGGGCCCTGACTCGGCCCCAGCCTCCTGGCACCTGGGGGGGGGACACAGACCAGGGCCCAGCTCGAGCCCCCCACACCCCCCCTGCACCGGCCTCACCACGGACAGGCACAGGGTCCTGCATGCAAACGTGACAGCTCCCGGGAGAGGTGGGGGGTGGGGGTGGACACCCCTGAAGCCCACTCACGGAGTGACCAGAACAGGACAGTGCCCCATGGCCCTCGGTCTTCTCCCCTGTAAAGTGGGGACGGACGTCACCTACCACACTCCAGGGCAGAGGGGAGGCAGGGCTGGGTTAAAGCGATAGTGCCAGGCTGTAAAGAGGGGTCCGCATCCCCCAAGCGACATCAAGCCGGACCTCTGTCCTCTTAAAAGCACCCCCAAGCCTGTGTGGAGGCCCCACTCCTGCCCCATCCCACAGCTCGCTGCACCGAGGCCCTTCGAGCCCACCCCGCACCCGACACCCGGAAATGCCACTTCTCTCCCACAGAAAACCACTGCAGACCCCCGCCCCGGCGTCCACACCTTCCCTCTCGGGCCCAGAATCCGGAACAATCGCGAGCCTCCCCTCCTCCACACCCGGGGCCACAGGAAAACCCCAGAAGCCCAGGGCCCGGCGGGAGGCGGGCGGACCTGCAGCCCCCACCCCAGACGGCACCCCCAGACCCCACACTTCCTGCTGGGTCCCCCGGGCCCCCCACACTTCCTCTCTAGCCTCCGCGCGTGGCATCTCAGTCTCTTCCTTAATCTCGTCCAGGCAAAAGCACATCAGTGAAGTCACAGGATGGCTTCTTCCGAAACATACTCAATAGCTGACGACTGAACATGCTCATCCGCGGAGAGGCCGGGACCACCGAGGCCACAGCAGGTGCCTCCAAGAGAGGCTGGTCTGAGTCGCCCCTCACATCGCCCGGCTGTGCTCAGCGGCTGAGAGCCAGTGACAGCCCACGGTCACATGCCGTCCAGGCGGAGCGGCCAGACTCCGGCGGCCTGTCCAGGCCGTGGGCCAGGGGCCTGCGGCTCAGAGCCCAGCTGGCCCCCCGCCAGGGCTGGCCACAGAGGGAGCCCCCGGTGCCCACTGTTCCCACCTCCCCGTGGCGACAGGGCAGAGGCGCTGCTCCCTGTGTGTGTCCATGTGCCCGTGTGCGGAGCGTGTGGGCGGAGAGTCCGGAAGGACCCATCGCCATGGTGCGCGCTGGCCCCGGGCCGGGGCCGGGAGGCCGGACAGAGGGAGCTGGCCCGCTCTGCAGGCCTCCGCCGTCTCGGCACGCATCCCTCCCAGGCTGGGTGTTTGTTTATTTTCTCAGCCTAATAAAATAATCCCGTGTTCCTTCCTCGCGCGTGTGCGGTCATTGAGCAAAGCAGGGTGTACGTGTCCGTGGAAAGTGACAGCCTGAGCGGAAGGCGGGCGAGTCTGTGGTTCACAGACTTCTCGGGGCGACGGGCCAGATGAACGACACCACGGTGATAGGGCACCTTCCCGTCGAGGCGAAGAGCCGGTGACAGGTTGTCTCTGGTCCTCTGTCCGGGGCCAGGCCACCCGGCTGTCTGCCCAGGAGGCCCGAGAGGCTCCTCCTCCCCCAGCCCAGACCCTGTCCATCCCCTGCCCGGCAGGCCCGCCTGCTGGGGCTGGTGTCTGGCGGTCCCCGTGGGCCCAGCCGTAGGACAGATGGCGCCCCGTCCCCACACCCCACGTTACCTGGCTCTCCTCTGGGGGCCCTGGGCAGCTGGGCCGGGGGCTGAGCCGGCTCGCGGGTGGCCGGGCCCTCGCCTGCCCCTGGCCGGCCGGCATCCAGGCTCCCACATGTGCAGGCTGCTTCCCCGACTACCTAATGCGGGTGAGTCACATCTGGGATCCACAACTTCCTGCTCAGCGGGGCCGCGGGGGCAGCACAGCCTCAGCTCAGCGCCCCAGGGGTGCGTGGGGGCCCCCTCCCTGCCGCCGCCGAGCCCTCCGCCGGAGTGGGGGGAGCTGTCAGGCCCGGCTCCCGGCTCCAATGACTTCATGGAAATTGGAAGCTTTAAGCTGGAACAATTTTCAACAAGTGAAAATAAAACACGCACCAAAAACCTCCATTAGGAGCCCCGAGACCGCGGTCGGAGGCAGGGAGCAAATGGATCCTTAACGAGCAATTAGAGGCTCGCGCAGCCTGGCACGCAGCCTCGCCCTGGCCCCGCCGCTCACACCCCGGCCCGGGCCTCAGTTTCCCCACCCCCATCGTGGGGGGGGGGGGGGGGCTCGTCCATCTCTGAGACCCCAAAGTCCCCAGCCCAGCCGGCTGCCTCTCCAATCCCAGCTGCTCCCCCGCCGCCCCCCCACCCAAGTGGGGCCAGGCCAGGGCCCATGCCTGGAGTCCCCACTCCAAACTGCCAGAGCCTCAGAGAACCCCGGGCAGCCCTGGGCCCCCGGAGGCCAGGAATCAAACCTCACTCCCCTTCTGTGTTGCCAGGCCTCAGTTTCCCCACTGGGCTCCTGGGGGGCTCAGTGGTGAGGCAGCAGAGTAGGAGGGGCTGGGAAGCGGCGAGCAGAGGCCGCCTGAGATAGGGAAGCCCTTCTGAGCACGTGCCTGGGTGCTGGGGTCGCTGCCCACCTTTTATCCGCAAGGAAACCCTTCTGCTTGGTCACCAAGTGGGGAGCGGAGCCCGGTGTTCCCAGCTGACACCTCCTGCCCTCGCCAGGCCCCCCTTCCGGCTCTTTGCCCAGAGGAGACAGTGGTCAGACTCTTTGCTGCCGACTGTGTGCACCCCCACCCCCGCCCAGCCGCACCCCCCGCCCGGCCAGGCCTGGTACCAACTGGGCGCAGGCTAACTGGTTCTGCGGTCAGCACATAGGCACGGCCCCATGGAGCGGGTCCTGCTCCCACCTCCCTTCTAGGGAAGAGGAGACTGAGGGTCAGAGAGGACACAGCACCCAGGACAGGCAGAGCCAGGATCCCAACTCAGGTCTGTCTGACTCTCAACCACACGGGCCACGACCCTCCCGGGAGCAAGGAAGGGCCTCCCTGGGGACCGGCTGCCTCGAATCCCACTCCACCCTCGTCACAGGGAGTCCTGGGCCACTCTGTGCTCCCACACCTTCCGGACCAACTTCCCCAAAGGAGGGGCGGCCTGAGGCTCTCCGAGCACCGGACCGGGAAGACTGGTTTGGGCTCGCTCACGGTGCCAGGACACAAAGCACAGGCCCGACCCTTCCCTGTCCCACTCGGCAGCACCCGGCCTCCTCCCTGTGGGCGGGACCCCCCGGTGTGCTGGGGACAGAAATGCGACTGGGACACGGCCCCTGAGATCCAAGCTCCCAGGTTGAGCCGTGGACCGATGGCACGGCACAGAGATCTGGCGAGGCCCCGTGAAGGCCAGACACAGCCCGGAGCTCAGGGGACAGACCCCCCACCCCCAGAGGAGGGGACCCAAGACGGGGTGTCCCAGGCCGAGAAGGGGGCCCGGACACTCCCTGGCTGGTGCGTGGGAGCCGAGGCGGCAGAGAGCGCACAGTGGGCGGGAAAGACGAGAGCACCAGCAGGAACAAGGCAGACAGGGCTGGCCGAGGGGCACCGCCGAGCAGGGAGCCAACAGCCTGGCCCCCTCGAGTGTCCACCGAGCAATGGGGGTGTGACTCAGCCGTGAGGGAGACGCAACCCTGGAGCTTCTGTTTCAACTACGTGGGGAGATGCTCTCGGTCATCAGGCTGGGGCGACGGGGCTGGGGACAGGCACTGTGGTACTCAGGCTCCAGGCAGCCCCCGGTGACCTGGCCTCCTGCTGCTCACGCCCCTGCACAGTCACACAATCTCACACACACACAACATAGTGCAGACACACTGCGGGGTTTCTGAGGTCACGCGAGACGTCGCGTCTCCCCTCGCTATCTCCTGGACCAGCCGGTGGGGGAAGCCGGCCACCACACGGCCTCCCGCCAAAGCCAGCACCAGCTTGCTATCCACGAAGGCGGGTCCCCCGGCCCCGGTGCAGGCTGGGCTGCCTCATGCTCACCGGCATTGCCAGCTCAGAAGTGAGTGGGGGTCGCCTCTCCCCAAGACGCCCCCATGACATTCCTGCCAAACTGGTCCGCACCCAGATTCTCACAGCGGGAACACAGCCCACTCTGTGCGGCCAGCGGCCTGCGTCCCTGCGCTCAGCCCGCCCCGGGTGTGTGTGTGTGTGGGGGTGGGGGTGACCTCGCTGAGGCAGGCTCAGCCTTGGGGTCCCAGACCGATGTTTCACAGAGGGGGTGGGAGGTGATTCCCACGCATCGCGTCACCGCGGCCTTCAGGGCTGCGGGATGTGCTGGGCCCCCGTGGAGGTGCTCAGGGCCCCCTTCTCTCACGGGCAGGAAGCGGGGTGTCCAGAGCGGAGCAGCTAGAACAGGGGCCTCCGGACTCCTCACTGGGGGGGCTCAGGGTGGTGGATTGAGCCGCAAAGCCACTGCGCATACAGTGTGCGCTAAGAAGTCAGCGCCGTGGCCTGCGACCCGGCGCCCGGCCCCTCCTGTTAGAAAGAAACCTACGGGAAGCTGCCTGTCCCGGTCCCAGTGCCGGGGAGGAGAGAGGAGAGGGGACAGCCCTACGGTGTGTTGGTGCAGCCGGCCGGGGGCAGGGGCCGGCTCCCAGGGCCCCCAGGGTCCGGCTCGGCCAAGCCCGGGCGACGGGGCTGCGGCCAGGGAAGGGCAGCCCGGGTCAGGCCGTGTTGAGTCACAGCAGAGGATCCTAGAGGAGCAGATGTGAAAGCAACTGCTCTGCCAGCCCCGGCCTTGTTTCCTGTGAAAACCTGGCAGCTGGGCGACACCCGCGGACGCCTGTCCGTCCCCCGCGATGGGAGCCCGGGGAGCGGGAGGAAGGCCCGCCCGCCCTGCGGATCCTGGGAGGGAAGAGCCGGGCCTTCGAACAGCAGCGGAGGGAAGGGCCCTCTCGCTTTCCTTCAACATTACAGGCGTGTGTGTGGGTGTGGGTGTGTGTGAGAGTGTGTGTGTGTGAGTGTGCGTGTCCACATGTATATTTGCATGCAAAAAACATCTGGAAGCTGGGCCAGTGTGGCTCAGTGGCTGAGTGTCGACCCATGAACCAAAGTCACGGGTTCAATTCCCCATCAGGGCACAGGCCCAGCTGTGGACTGGATCCCCAGTAGGGGGCAGTCTATCGATGATTCTCCATCATTGACGTTTCTATCTCTCCCTCTCCCTTCCTCGCTCTGAAATCAATAAAAACGTATTTTTAAAAAAACACACACGGAGGGAGATGTCTAAACCATTGGCCATTTGGACACGGAAGGGACAGTTAGGAGGTAAGAGCAATATTTCAGGAGCCACGTCAGCAGGCTGGCGGGAGCCGGTGACCGCGGCGGCTGAGGGGGTGGGGGTCACACTCCCTATCCCCCTGCGTGTGTGACTCCTCCACAGGCAGCGCTGAAGCCTGGTCACCGAGAGACGTGGCACCTGTCGTCTCATCTGAGACGCCCGCCCGGGGCCTCGCAGCCCCTTCCTCCGGGAGGACTGTGCAGCCCTGCAGGGAGGCGACGCCCCAGGTGTCACAGCTGGTAACACCGCCACAGGGTCAGCCTGCTCCCCAAGGGAACGGGGGGTGGGGGGGGGAGCTTCCCATGCTCCATCCTCACCTGAAAACCCATCACACTTGGCAGAGACAACCTCAGGCCCAGCCATCAACCTCCCAGCATGGAGCAGAGGCCTCCTCCTCCCCCTCCTTCCCCTCTTTCCCTTCCTCCTCCTCCTCCTCCTCTATCTCCTCTTCCTCCCCCCTTCCTCCTCCTCCTCCTCTGTCTCCTCCTCTGTCTCCTCCTCTCTCTCTTCCTCCTCCCCCTCCTTCCCCTCTTTCCCTTCTTCCTCCTCCTCCTCCTCTATCTCCTCTTCCTCCCCCCTTCCTCCTCCTCCTCCTCTGTCTCCTCCTCTTTCTCTTCCTCCTCCCCCTCTCTCCTTCCCCTCCTCTCCCCCTCCTCCCCTCTCCTCCCACCACCTACACAGGAGCTTAATGGCTCCCAGCACCAGCCAGGCAGGCAGGCTTCTCACCCCCTCTCCTGGGAGCCTCCCTGTCTCATCTCATCCTCTGACCACAAAGCAGTTCACCCAAGGGGGCGGGGAGTGGGGCGCGCTTGGTGCCTGGGACCTCCACGCCCCCAGGCGCGGCCTGACCACAAACCCGCGTCCAGCCTGCGGGCCCAGGAAGTGGAGAGAAGGACCCGCCGCAGGCACAGACCGAGCCGCCGGCTCCAGGCGCAGTGCTCCGCCGGCACAGATACCGAGCCGCCCAAGCGACCAGCACAGGGGACAGAGCCCAGCCAGCGACCCAGGCACCACAAGCCCCGCGGCTCCACTCACAGAGCACGGGCCGGCTTCCCTAGACGGCAGCGGGGAACACGGGTGCCCACGACGCTTCCTGATCATGTGTCTTAAAGAGCGAGCTGGAAAGATGTGCGTCGTTACGGTAATGGCTGCTTCACAGAGACTCTGGGGTCCCCCGACGGCTTAGGCTTCCTGGCTTTTCAATACGGAACTGGAACCATTTCTGTAACGAAGTGAAAGGCATTTCGAGAGAAGAAACCAGCTGTCTTTCTCCTCCTCCCCAGGAATGTCGGTCAGAGCCACGGCCCAGGAGGCAGGAGCTGCCTGGCTGTGGGACCCCCAAGCTCACACTGCCTCTTAGAGCCTCAGTTTCCCTATCTGTCAGACGCCACGCTGAGCTGCTCCGGCCGTCCTCGAGGTGAGGCCTGGACTAGCAGCCATGCCCACCAGGTCAGGTGAGGAGGCCTGGCCAGCCCGGCCCCGCCCCCACCACCTGTGCCCGTCGGCTCAGTCCTTGTCCCCCTGGGCACCCACTGGCCCTGCACCCAGGCTGGTGTGGAACTACGAGCACCCTGTCCTCCTCGCAGCCACGTGCAGAGCGCCCCCTGCTCAAGGCGGCCAGGCCACGCCCTCCTACCCTCCCACCACCAGGAGGTGTGTCCCCGTTTTACAGGGGAAGGAGCCCGCCCACCCACATACACCAAACCCAGACGGAGACTGCGGCCTGGGCCCGTCCGTGGGCCCCTCCTCCCCAGCCGTCAGCACACCACCCAGCACCCCTTCCGAAGGGCCAGCTGCCCCGCTGAGGGCTGCGGGCGGGGTCCCGGGAGGACGGGGTGCATCCATCCTGAGAAAAGGCCGCACGTAAACAGTTATCAAGTCAGTTAATATTGACACAACACTCCGACCAACAGTCCCCACCCAACGACGTCCTTCACCCCGAGTCCCACGCTGCCTTCGGCCTCCTCGGATCTGGACCTGTTCCTGGGCCTCTGGCATAAGCATCCTCAGCGTCTCCATTTCATACATGAGAAACGGAAGCTCAGAGAGGTTGACGTACTTGCCCGAAGTCACACAGCCAGGGAGCGCCCGGGGGTTCCCTCGGGAGCCCGAGTTCCGGTCCTCCAGACAGGAGGCCTCGCGAGTAATCGCCCCGTTAATGATTGCAGAAAGCGCGCCCTCTGCAAACAGCTGGCCGCCAGGTGCTCACTAACCACGGGAGTGCCTCCCGCACACGCCAGCTGGGCGGCCAGCTCCTGCACGGCCCCGCGCCCGCCCCCACCCCCACCCCCACCCGCAGGGCCCCCACGAGCCCCTCTATACAGCCGGGGACAGGAGAGGACCCTGCAGGGCTGGGGCCAGCATCTCCTGCCTTTCTTTGTCCCCCTCTTCAAGTGACCATCCGGGCCCAAGTGCCCATGTCCGAAAGCAGAGAAAGGCACCTGCCCCAGAGCCATGTCCCTGACCACGGCCCCCCGTGCTGAAGGGGACCCCTGAGGTCAGCTGCCCCAGGGGCTGAGCGTCGGAGGCCCACTGCACGCCCCCAGCGGAGGGAAGGGTTTACAGGAGGCAAGGGCTGGAGGGGGAGGGGAGGGAGTACTCACCCGGGGACACAAAGGACTCGGGACTCTGGGGGTCCCACAGCAGTACTACAGAGAGGAGGAGAAGCCCGTCAGCTGATCCCCCAAACTCCACAGCGAGGGGGTCGTCCACTCCTCTCAGGACCCAGGCCAGGCACACCAGCTTGAGAAGCCACCCTCTTTGTGGTTCCCAAATGGGGGTGCATCAGAGCCTGGAGGCTCCCGCCAGCCTTGCCACCATCACCCCCAGCCTGGCCCCCTCTGGAGAGGGGCCGCTATCACTCTGGCCCCCATCAACTAGCTCCCCGACGGCGGCCTCACGGCCAGATGCCAGCAGGCGCACAGGGAGAGAAAGGTGCCGCCGTGGCTCCTGGGCCCGAGGTCCAGCCGCCTGCTCAGGTTGGGGGCTAATTGGTACCGAAATGCCTCAGAACCCTGGCATCCCCCCGGGCCACCCTATTAAAATCAGAAGTTCGCACAGCCTCCCGACCCCCGGGCAAACCCAATGTCAAGTTTCTAACCAGCAGAGCTGCTCTTGAAACTTCTCCAGAACCAACAAAAGAGGAATAAAGTTTTGCTTTGCTTCCCGATCGCAGACAATTTTGAAAATACAGAAAGTGTAAACAAAGGAGCGATGTATCAACAAAGTCCACAAGGATATTTCCGTAGGGACTTCTGCAGCGCCCGCCGCCCTGGGGGCCTCCCTCTACAGGTGTCTGGGGTCAGAGTGCAGCGCTCTGTGTCTCCCATTGGCCAGTGGGCGCAGGAGGCATGACTCGCCTCCCCAGTCCCGCCTCCCCCCAGGCCCAGGCCCCGGCCCGGGCCCACCACTCAGGCTCCCTTGCTGGACTCCACAAAGCCACTGTCACCCATCAGCAATCCCTTTGTGCCCAGCTACACAGAAAGGGGGCCTGAGAGGGGGGTCAGCCTCAAAGCCCAGAGCACCCCGGGTTGGGGCAGGACCAGGAGGAGGGGGAGGTGGGCAGGCCGTGTGTTTTGCTCTTGTAGGATTTAACTTGAGACTCTGCCTGCCAAGGTAGGGTCAGCTCCCAATGGCTACTCAAACAGACCCCCCACCCCAGAACCCCGGAGGCCGGGCTCTGGTCCCAGCTCCAGGCCCGACCTTTGACGACCTCAGCTTTCCCACCTGTAAGTGGGGCTCATCACTCCGGCCCTGACTCACAGGACCCCAGCATTCAAGGGGCGTCATGCCGTGGCTGTGTAAGCCACCTGCCTCATACCCTGGAGGGCGCCCCCTGCCCCCTCCCCCATAAGAGGCCAAGAGCACCCACTCTCAAAGCCAGAGGATCTGAGGAGAGAGGACCCCACGTCCAGGCTCCGTCACCACCTCTGCCCGTTTCCTTCATGCGAAAGGTTAGGTTTGGGGTCCCCCCAGTGAGGATCCAAGTCAGGGGCCAGAGCCTGCCCACTGTCCCATCTGCCCCCTCCCCCTCGCTGGCAAGGGGCCTGCCCACTGCCCCATCTGCCCCCTCCCCCTCACTGGCGAGGGGCCTGCCCACTGCTGGCTCTGGGTGGATGGCTTCCCACCCCAAGCCCGGGCTTGCCCTCCCGGAGGCTTCTCCTAGGGGCTGTTTTCACTTTAAACAGACACAGTGGACCCTTAAACAAGGGGGAGGGTGCTAGGGCTCCACCCCCACCCGGTGCGAACCCCACGGGTACCTCTGGCTCCCCCAGAACTTGACGACAGTTCCTGCTCTCTGGCATCCGTGGGACGCTGGTTCCAGCCCCCCCCCCCTCCCCCAATACCCAACCCCAGGTGCCCAGGTCCCTCCTATGAAGTGGCCTTGAGGGCGTGGGAGCCGGAACAAAGCAGGCAGGCGGCTCCGCATGGGGATTCCCAGCCACAGGGTCGGAAGGACGCTCCCGTCTGCGCGGCAAAACCTGGGGAGACCCTGGACTGCCCGTGTCTTCATTGAAAAAAAACCCGGACGTCAGTGGACCCTGTTGTCCAAGGGCCAGCGATATGCCGACACTGTCCGTCCCCCTGTCCGTGTCTGGGACATGGACAAAGCTGCCCTCTGCCACCGTGAGCACAGGCCTCCCCACAGCAGGGAGCGGGTGCGGGCCTGGGGGGCAGCGGGGTGCCCCTCTCCCTGGTCTGCCCTGTAGTGGGGGCAGTGGCACTGGGCCCCTATTCCTGCCAGCCGGGGCCCTATCTGGGCACATTCTCCCTCCCCTTCCCCCCCCCCACCCCAACCCCGCAAGGGCCCTGGGTGGGGGACCGAGGGAGGGGACATGGGGAGACCATCCCCAGGCCCCAGCCAGACAGAGGCGTGGAGGGGAAGGGGGTTGGGGCTGGGGTCCCAGTGGGCCGGCATCCCCCCCCCCCGCTGCCCCCCTCTCAGGCCTGGGAAGGCAGCCGGGGGAGGGGCCGGCTCAGCCCTCCACCCAGAGGAGCCCGCAGGCGCCCCGCACCCCACAGGCACCCCTATGGCGCAGGCTCGAGGGCCGGCGGGCGCATCCCGGCCCCTCCCCCACCCCGGGGCGCGCGCTCCAGCGCCGGCGGCACCTCCCCGCGGCCCCCCCCCCCCCCCCCCCCCGCGCTCACCTGCCCCGCGCACCTGCCCGCGCTCCTGCCCCGGCGCCGCCCGGTCCCCGCCGCCCGAGTGTCAGCGCCCCGGCCGCGGGCGGGACCGGCCGTGCGGGCTGGGGCGGCGATGCGATGTGGCCGCAGGCGCCCCCCGCTGGCGATCGGGGTCCCGCCCGGCCCGGCCCAGCCCAGCCGCGGGCGCAGGCGGCGAAGGGGGGCGCCCCGCTCGCTCCGACCCCCATTCCGCCGCGCCCGCCCGGTCAGCGTGGGGGGGCCCGGGCGCCCTGGAACCCGGGCAGGAAACGAGCCCTTGCGAACCTGCTCTCCGGGGCGCGCACGTGTCTGGATCGGGACGCGCCGGGCGCTGCGGCCCCACCGGCAACACTTTCTAGCAAACTCCTCCCGGGCGCCCAGACCCGCCCCGCACCCCAGGAACGCCCCGTTTCTGGAAGGATCCCTCCTCCGCGGACTCATGCCCTCCCGCCAGGGGAGGAAGCTGGGGTGGCCACCGGCGGCCTCACTCGGGCCTTGAACTCCGGGGGGGGGGTCCCGAGGTGGGATTGAAGCCCCCGCCCCGCCCCTGCACACAGTAGGTCCACCTTTATCCACCTGTCTGTGCCGGCACCAGGAAGCCAAAGCCCGCCTGAGAGAGCAGGTGCCCTCGCCCTGGCCGGTGTGCCTCAGTGGATAGAGTGTCAGCCTGCGGACTGAAGGGTCCTGGGTTCGATTCCCGGTCAGGGCACAGGCCTGGGTTTCGGGCTCCATCCCCAGCAGGGGGCGTGCAGGAGGCAGCTGATCCATGACTCTCATCATTGATGTTTCTCGCTCCCTTTCTCTCTGGAATAAATTTATATATATATATGGAGAGTAGGTGTCCTCACCCTGTGGCGTGGCTGGAGGTTGCTGGTTGGTTCCCAGTCAGGGCACACAGCTGGTGGCGGGTTGGCGAGGCATCTGCAAGGGCAGCCGGTGGGTATTGTTCTGTTTCTCTCCCCACCTTCTCTCTCTAAGCAAGTCCTCAGGTGAGGACTTAAAACAACAATAAATAAATGGGGGAAAAAATAAAGTAGGTGTCACAACTCACCCCACTCGCTGCTTCCCACAAGCCAGGGCGGGCCCAGAGCGGGCGGCAAAAAAAAAATCTGTCCCGTTTCCGCGGCGCCCGGATGGGTGAGCAAGGGCCGCTCCGCTCCCGAGTCACAGCTGGGAGGGCCAGGACGGGGCTGAAGGGACCTGCAGGGCCAGCGGGCGGGTAGGACAGAGGCCTGCGGAGTGTCTCCCTTCCGCTGCCCCGAGTGCCCTGACGCCAGTGAGAACCCGGGTTCCCACTGTGCTGAGAGGGTCGCGGGCGCAGCTATTAAGCCCATTTCTCAGGTCCAACCTCAGAGGCCCCGGCCGGAGCTCCACGGGCAGATTCTGGGGGATCTACGGTTTAACAGGCACCCGGTGATCCTATGACCGCAGGTTGATAAAACCCTGGTCCACTGGGAACCCCGTGGTGGAATCCGGAGCCAGGGCCCCAGCTTACCTTAGCTTAGAGGGAACAGCCCCGCAGGGGCCTGGCTGAGGAACTGGGGTGAGGTGCTGGCAGGTGAAGATCTGCTTCCACTCCAGACGGCGGGACACGGGGTCCCAGAGCCTCCTGACGGGGGCGCGGGGCCCTCTGGGCTGGAGCCGTGCCACTTTCCTGGCAAGGTCACCGCTGCGTCTGAGGGCTCACCCGGGAGATTTGAGCCGCAGGGACGCCTGGTTCCAGAACTGGGCGCGATGGTAGGCACACCTGATGCTCATCACAGCCACAGCCCACGCCCGCACGAGGCCTCGCCCACCCTCCTCAGAACCACCTGCGGCTCCTGCTGGTGTCCTGCAGCCCAGGTCGACCCTGGAGAGGGAGGGGGCCCGGGCGGGGTGGGCCCTCTGGCCCCTCCAGAGTCCAGGAGCCCTCCCCCTCTGCAGGGAGCGATGCTGCAGCTTCCACCCACGTGTCACCTTTCCCCAGAGCTCTGACCAGCTCTCCCAACAGCAGACGGGAAACAGCGGGGGCGGGGGGGGGGGGGGTGCGTCCAACACGCCTCCGCTCACCCTCCACTGCCGGGCAGCCCACCTGCGGGGGTACCTCAGGGCGCGGCCTGGTGGCAGGCTCCGTCCTCAGTGACTGCGAAGGGCCGATGTCGGAATCGCCCAGAGGCCTCATGAAGAAAAACGCACAACAAACACACACACCGCGGGCCCCACCCTGCTTCTGGTTGAGCAGGTCTGGCGTGGCTCCCAAGAATTGTACCTCCTCCGAGCTCCCAGCCGGAGATCCACGGGCAGATTCTGGGGGATCTACGGTTTAACAGGCACCCGGTGATCCTATGACCGCAGGTTGATAAAACCCTGGTCCACTGGGAACCCCGTGGAGGAATCCGGAGCCAGGGCCCCAGCTTACCTTAGCTTAGAGGGCACAGCCCTGCAGGGGCCCGGCTGAGGAACTGGGGTGGGGTGCTGGCAGGTGAAGATCTGCTTCCACTCCAGACGGCGGGACACGGGGTCCCAGAGCCTCCGGACGGGGGCGGATGGGCTGGATGGGCCTTCCGGGGAGAGAGGAGTGGCTGCCCCAGGTGGTGCTGGGTGAATCGGCCGCCATTGGAGGAAAAGCTTTTAGATACCAGCTCCCACCGGACTACCACCACCACCAACAACCAACCAACAGAGGAAAGAGCCTAGTGTTTGAAAAGAAAACTTACACAGGAAGACGTTGTAGTGGTTCTGCTGGGAGAAGGCGGCAGAGGAGATCCAATCCACGCTGCAGGGCTGCCATTAAACGTGGACTGTCCCTCTCCAGGGGGAGGGGGCGTCTCCAAATGCCACAACCAGTGTGTTTGTCGCTCTCTTTTAAAAAATATACTTGTTTTATTGATTTCAGAGAGGAAGGGAGAGAAATAGAAACATCAATGATGAGAGAGAATAGTTGATCGGCTGCCTCCCACACGCCCCCTACAGGGGATGGAGCCCACAACCCGGGCATGTGGCCTTGACTGGAATCGAACCCGGGACCCTTCAGTCCGCAGGCTGACGCTCTATCCACTGAGCCAAACCAGCCAGGGCCTGTTTGTTGTTTTCATTACCCACTGTGGTGACAGCCCCAGAGAACATGTGCCCATTCGCCCTCCCAGGGGCCGCACCCACCAGGAGGGCCAGTGCCCGCTCCCAGAGAGCGGTCAGCGTTTGCTGCCTGCCTGCGGCTCTCACACCCCACACCCTTCTCCCGGCAACCCAACCCGACGCAGGGCACTGGCCAGAGGGGATGCTGGATGAACCCGCCATCTACTCCTGCTGCCTCCTCACACAGACTGTCAAAAAGAAAAGTCACGCCCTGGCTTGTGTGGCTCAGTGGATAGAGCATCTGCCTGCGGACTGAAGGGTCCCCAGTTCAATTCCAATCAAGGGCACAGGCCCGGGTTGTGGGCTCCATCCCCAGTGGGGGGCGTGCAGGAGGCAGCCGGTCCATGATTCTCTCTCATCATGGATGTTTCTCTCTCTCTCTCCTTTCCCTTCCTCTCAGAAATCAATACAAATATAAAAAAGAACAGTCAGGATAGCTACCGGGCAGCTCAAGCACAGGCGTTCAGGGGGCGGGAAGGGAACACAGCTTCTGGCCACTACAGATCAAGGTGTTAGCAGACGTGTGTGACTCAGAGACATGGAGGTAAGTGAATAACACCCCCACACCCCCAAACCACCCACAGTTGGAAGTGGCGGCCTCGGGGGAGGGAGAAAGTGGGGAGCGGGTGGGAGACCAACTTTTCGAACCCTTTGGCTTTAAAAGATGACAAGCCTGCTCCTCGGCCCCGTCCCCCTGCTCCTCCCTGTCTTGGCAGGGCCTCCCCCCTCCCTCCCCGACCCCACCCCACCCCTGGGCCTTCACGTTTCTATTTCCACAGGGGATTGCCTTGTCCCCTCCCCTGCAGTCCTCCGGGGCGACGCCTTGCCTGCTGTGTGAGAGCTGTTTTCCCGAAGTGGATTTTAGGAAAGTCCAGCGGTGTGATGGCACCGCTTCCAACTGCCTTGCGTGCTGGTGCCAAAAAGTCACGCTGGGGACGCCGCCTGCTGAGCATCGAAGGACAGAAACTCGGTTTGCAGCCGGAAGGGGGCAGGAGCGCGTCTGGGAATGGACACACCAACAGGCCACTGGGTACCTTCAACAGCCCCTCCTTCCCTGTCCCCTGGATGCTGGCATTAAACATCGGCGTTTTAAAATCTCTAAGGGATCTCTCGTCGACAGCGTTTTAATCCCCTGTTTTCAAACAGGAGCTAGTTACTTGCTTTAGAAACATACACACCTATTCACAAACTAACGCTCTTTCCAGACGGATCCTGTGAGATCAGTCTGTTTGCGGTTTTAAATGGGGGGGGGGGGGGGCGTGTGTGTGTGTGTGTGCGTGTGTGTGTGTGTTGACAAGCAAGAAGTATAAAGCATTTTAGTTACAAGGGGATAAATGGCCCCAATTTAAGTCAACGCCGTCGCACTCCTGAGCTCAGTGGGTAACACACAGGGCACCTCCTCACAGACTTCACTGGACAAGCACAGAGGTAAGTCTACAACCACGAAGTGAGCGCCTCACGTAGTGATTTCAAAGAAAATATCTCCACCCCCAAAAAAATGGCAGCCCGGGGCTGCTAAGGTTTAGGGGGCTCGCTGTGTGAACTCTCCCCCGGCTGCCCCGCACCCCTTTTCCAACCAAACTCTCCGGTGGATTTTTCCCAACAAAATCCCGGCAGCCCTGCGTTCTCGGACCCGGAGCTGCACCCGACCTCTCACCAGCTTCCTCTTTGCTCACCAGGCGGCCCCTCCTACTTTCAGACGGAGAATTATTCTTTTTTATTTTGGGGGGGACGATAACTTATTTTTAGAGAGAGTTTTAGATTTAGTTGCTGCCATTACTGAAGGGTCTTTAAGGGATCGAGTTTGAGGTTGCAGGTGGTGGGGAGCTATCCGTATAACTGGGGTTTTTTTCCATCTGTTTTGTCCAGGGTGGCGTTTTCTAAACGCTGGAAATCGGGGAGAAGGGGCCGGGTGGTTTCAGATGGCCACGGGGCCTTTATGATCCTTCGATCCTCGCCCGTACCTCGCAAGATGAGGCTTCTCAAGCAGCTCCTGAAAATGCACCTAAGACAAGATAAACCGGAGCCGTTTCTGTTTAGATCACTCGGGTTGGAAGAAAAGGGCCACCACGTGGCAATACTGTGTAACAGCCCCGCTTGGGGGGAGCTGGGCCGCACCGGGCAGCCACGAAGGGGCATCTGACGTGTTCGTGCAGCAAAGCTACTCGCAAGCCAAAGTGTGCACCACAGAATGCATGGTGGGGAGTGGCAGAATCCGGCAGGGGACGGCTCCATGTAAAAGCAAAGACCCCCGCAAAGTACATATGTGCAGACATGTTTATGTATGTCCACGCATTTTGTTATTTATTGATTTAAAAGAGAGAGAGAGAAATTTGTTCCACGTATTTACACATTCATTGGTTGATTCTTGCATGTGCCCTGACTGGGACTTGAACCCACAACCGTGGTGTATCGGAATGACACTCTAACCAACGGCGCTGCCCAGCCAGGGCTGTAAATGCGTTTTTTAAATCTGGGCTACATCCCAAATCACCAACGTGGCCGGCGTGCGGGAGCTCCGGGGGCCGAGGGGGCAGGGCAGCAGACCCCTGACCCAGGTGCCCCCATGTTGCCTGCGATCCTTCCCCGTGGAACTCACACTCTGGGGAGGTGGATCGCTCACGCGCCAACTTCCCACGGGAGAGACGTATCTAACAGGATTATGCTTTCTGCTTGTTTGTTCAGAGAGAATTGCCAGTGGATGTGTAAGAAGCGAGAACATACTTTCAACCATAAAGATTTTAAAAAATAATAATGAATGTGGGAGAAGCGAGCGGGCTGGAGCGGGCGGTTGTCTAGACTCCTGTTCACGCTGACTCAGCCCGGGACTCTGTGCGCTTCCCGCTCGGGTGGTCCAGGCAGCCCCGGGGGCCCAGCCACGGCCACCAACTCCTCTGAGAGACGGTTTGGTGGCACGTGGCTACGGATCCTGCTTCCTCCGCTCTTGGGAGGAGCAAACCCTTTCATGACTCTAACGGGCCGTGCGGTGGCGCATCCCCGCGTTGCTCAGGACCCCCTGCATTAAAGCAAAGGAGAAAGCCGGGTGGGCCCGTGTGAACGGGAGGCCGCTGCCGGCCTGGCGGTGGCCGGGGTCAGGCCAATGCCTGCCTTCGCCCAGGACCTGGGTGGGCAGGAGGGCACAGCAGCACCTGAAGGCACCCCACGCCACTCCCGGGGGCATGAGGATGAACGCCCGCAGACGGGCCCTCGCTGTCGGGGAAAAGCTCTCCTGCCCACGCGGGGGCTGTCTTGGGAATGACCAGACGAACGAGGGAAAAGCAGCCGTTCAGGCGTCACAGAAAGGCTCGGACCAGAGGCTGTGAAGGTGAAGGAGAGCACAGAGCCTTTATTGAAGTGGGGTGATGAGGCGTGAGCCGGGGCGAGCCCTGGGGGGCAGTGGGGCGTAGAAATGCGATTTATAAAATTTTCAAGGCAAACGATGGGCATCTTTGAAGACATCGTCGTTAGCTTAAAAAAAAAAAAAAAAAAAAAAAAGCTCCCGGGATGCGATTCACTCATAGTTTCGATCACCGGTGCCCGCGGTGACGGGACCTCGGGACGTGTGGAGATTTCGTAAATCGTTTGTATCAAATCTCTCTTTTTTTTCTGGTAAACTCCTTCGCGCTTCGGCA